CAATTTTAAAATGGAAAATAAATATATTAATACCTACCTACCATTGTAGTTTAGGAAGGTGAATGGTAATTGAAATATTAAATAATTTTAAAGTTTATATGTAAAGCCCCGTTCACACGATCAAATAATTTGTCAAATATTTGACAAATTATTTGATCGTGTGAACGGGGCTTAATACTGATGTATATTTTCTATACGCGGTGGGTACTTAAACAAATTTGGGTATTTATTAAAATTAGATGTCGTCATACACTCATACCTATAGATTAGCAAAAAGTTAAAAAATACCTTCAATAATTATAAAAAAAATATTATAAGCGTTTAGTTTCAAAATTCTTCTGGTTATGTACTATATTTTGTTCATATTTAGTAGGTTCTCTCTATTATACAAATATAACAATAATATGTACAACAATAATTTATGTATTCATATGCATGTATAGTAAAATGATCCACAAATAAATAATTAAAATTTTTCAATAATTTATTCACTATCATAAATTATAACATTCATTTTTTATTTATTCATATTCGTATACATTATGCATGGACTAAGTTATTTCCTTTTTATGAATTCGGTACATATGAATTGAGAAAGGTACCTAAATAATTTGTTTTGTTAGATAAATTTTATAAATAAGAATATAAATTGATAAATACTTTTCAAACCATAAACATAATTATTATGAATTGATTTTTCATATTTTGGAATTTTGGTATTTTAATCGCACTTCAGCAATGTCGAGAATGTATTTTGATTGTCTTTGTCAATTTACGAGCGAATGCTAATTGCATTTGCTCATGAATTGACAAAACCTATTATTATCATTTATTACAAATATTCTTCGTTTTGTGTTCATCAACCTTTATGATAAACATTTTTTTTTCATTCGATAATATTAGAATCTAAACTTATAAAAGAATATATTGATCGAAATCAAATTCGTGAAACCTAGAGTTTTTAAATTTTAGATTTTGAGTGGAGCGAGAAGCTGGCAAATAATTGTACAGGGCATTGCACGATAAATGTGTCAAACTTCTAGAGGTGTTTCTACACCTCAAATGGAACAAAATAAGTCCTTGTGACCATAATCGAATTATCAATAATAAAGTGATAATTTCCATGTTTGTGTTTTTTTGTTTGATTCATAATAATGTTCATATCTGCTAAACCGTATAGGTGCTACAATTAATTTAAATACATTGATGAAAAGCTCATAAAATTGGGATTAGGAAAACATATCTTCCGACCTGATTTTTTGAGTAAAAAGAATAACACACATTTTTTATAACTTTAAAATGTTGACATTTTAAAAAATTTACGTTTTATTCTACAACAATTTTTTTTTAAAGTAGGTGGGTGCAATAATTTCAAAAAAACTTTAAAATGTTATAAGCTTTTCAACAGTGTACTCGGTTTTTTTGTTGAACCTTTCTGAAGGGCTGCTATTCCACCAGACATGTGAAAAAAGCGGGAAAAACGTAAACAAATTCTAAGCAATAAATACAAACTCTTTTAAACTGATTTTTTTAAAATTTCGACATTTGAAAGTTATAAAAAATTTGTGCTATTCTTTTTACCCAAAAAATCAGGTGGGAATCTTGTTAGATATGTTTTCCTAATCCCAATTTCACGAGCTTTTCATCAATGTATTCAAATTAATTGTAGTACACTAGTGCCTATGGTTTAGCAGATATGAACATTATTATGAATCAAACAAAAAAACACAAACATGGATATTATCATTTATCACCCTTATTATTGATAATTCGATTATGGTCACAAGGACTTTTTTTGTTCCATTTGAGGTGTAGAAACACCTCTAGAAGTTTGACACATTTATCGTGCAACATCCTGCATATTTTAATTCTTACTTATAAGATGTGTAAATTCCTTCACGAATACAAAAATGAGATATTATGCAAGTTCCTACACTGTAAAAACATTCGCTCTGTTTAACAATGGTGAGTTTTTTTGTGGTGTTTGACATTACTTGTTTGAGCTTTTACGCTGTATACCCGATATAAGAAATAGCGCACTATATTATAACTGTATATTGTAATATACACATACCACTTGGCACATATCTCTGCTCGTTTCAGTCACGATCGCTGCAGCATAAAATTAAAACAACCATTATGTAATAGAGTGGTCTTACTTATTATAGTGGCTACTATAAAATATCTATAAACATAATATTATATTTTGTGCGTAGGTACGCGTGAATCCCCACGTTCAAGCCATGTAAAGTTAGTTACAGTTAAAAACAATTTTCGGCCCAGTTAGTTTTTTTATATTTATACATAACATGATGTGACCGAACACGTCATGCATCTAATATACCAATATCCAATTTTCTTACTATAAGAATTTTATAATTTAATTTTTATTTATTTAATTTTAATATGTATTGTTATAATTTTCGTTAAAATAACTGATTACTTCATTTTTTTTTTAAATTAAGTAGGTATAGACAAGCAAATCATAATTCCCACATGAGTATTTTTTAGGGTGAGCACAGTTTGAGAACCGCTGATTGTTGATGTACATATTATCACAAAGTACGTTGTTAAAAAGTATGCGTAAACTGTGTAAACTGTATAATACCGCAGTCATTGGCGCCTGATGAATTGTAATTCGTTAAAAAAAATAGTTTGAACACAAAAGAATTCGGCGTAGTTGTAGATAATTAAAACCGAACATTTCATTATTACATTATACCCATGTTTTAATTCGCGCACGTGTGATTGTTAATCTGACCTACGTACCTATAAGTAATGCTTATAACTCCGTATCAGCCTATACCTATGTATTTATAACTATACTAATTCATAACCATAATTAACGATATTAAAATTTAAAATCTCATAAAAAAATAATTTGGGTTTACGCTAAGCTTTGTTTTTAATTTTTGAAACAAAAACCGGGAAGATTTTTCATGTAAATCTAGTCTTTGACAGAGTCAATTTTCTTATTTTGTTGTACCTAATTCAAAAAATCAAAACTAATAAGTACCCTTGGATACCTGAACAATTTACCAAATGTTTATATATTAGAATTTTCATCTGTACAAATTGATATATTATATGTTATCATTTCACAATAGATAGTATAATTTCAAATCATCAAAATATTTCACTATTAACAAGCTACTTATACAGACATAGGTCATAGATATTCGATTTTTTCCATAAATGTCGATAAAAATGTTTTCGCTGGAATTAAAACGCTTGAAAATGTACTACATGGTTCCTTATTAGTTGTTATCAAAGCTATTTAAACGTACTAAAGATACAAAGCCGCAAAAGGCGTGATTATATTTTATTTGAATTACAAATTTTGATAAATAAGGAATAAAAAAAAATCATGACAATTTGAAAATTATCTTGTTGTTAAAAATTGATAAAATGTCTGATATGTAAAGCTAATGCTCGGAAATTTAATAGAAGAAATATAAACTAGTTCATACTTGAACCAAAAAATCAAAAAATCGATACGCTCAGAATCTAAAACGTAGAACATATTTTATATTGAAAGTCACTTTCTGAACTAATCCATTTTTTGGTTTGATTGTAATATGTACAAAGTTCAAGGTGAATCGTGTACACAGGTATAGACTAGAGTCAAATTAACACATAGTTAAGTTTCACCTTATGAATTCGTGAAAAAGATAATTCAATAGGTTACCGAGACGAGGTTATCGAGAAGTTTACGTTGCTGATATAGGGTTAATATTAATTTAATTTAATATCTGAGTGTTACCTATATATTTATTTTCAATACTTAACAAAGCAAAAACAAACGCTTAATTAGTATAACTTATGCTTAGTTCTTAGTAAAATATTATCTATTGAACAGGTATTGATCAGAAAAAAGCAAAAATTACTAGGTAATTAATATAATATATTGTATTCATAATAATTTATAGGAAGGTAACATTGATAAAATAAAAATAATAAAAACTTTTTTCAGTTTTTAAAACCAGATAATAAATAAAATCGTTGCAAATATCGAAAATAATAAAGTATAAACGTTTAGTATTGTAGATTGTAGATGCTGCAATGCATAATACAATTAGTATGAATAAATATTTATTATTCGTTTATCTACAATGGTCAACGACGAGGAAGTTTTTCTCAAAATTTCATTTTGAGTTAAATAATTTTATCAGTTTTTGTGTTTAATTGGTCGAGAATTCCTTTTAAAAGAATACCTACTGATATCATTTTGCATATTATGTATCCGTTCATTTATAAAGAAGCAAACGTTCTTCTATAAATATTAAGAATACCGCAGCTGTTAATATAATATCACGTGTTGTGGTATAGTGGCCTGTGTATAACTTTAGATAGCAATAATTATTATATAACATTACTAATACATTATTATATAAATTTCAATTGTGACTACCATAGTACCTATATTATATGGTAAAAAGATTTTATTTATACACATACCGTGTTATAAATAAAAAACCTTGGAACTTGCTCTGTTGCGTATAGGTTGTAATTCGTCATTGACTTTAGGTCACTTTAATAGATGTGTTAGTTGTTAAATTTGAATTCAATTATAAAACATTGTATTCAAAAAAATATTCTTTGCAGAGGAGATAGTATACATCACCATATATATTTTTGAGGATAGTAATGTTAATATTATTTATTATATATACTATCTGCATATTACTCGATTTCGACCGGATTATTAAGAAAAGTACTAGTAACCTACTACGGTTTTCTTGATTAGAAACAAAAAGCATCATTGTAAAACCAATAATTTCCTCGCTCCTCTCTAAATTTAAACACATATCACTGAACCAATGAGATAAAACTGTTGAATCTCAACAATTAGTAGACAAAAAGTATAGGTACTCTCCATATCGAATAATAATATTAATTTAAAAATTAAAAATTAAAAATAATATAATAATATCAACTGATAGTCCGCTTGTATTATTTTTTCTAGTTCAAAAGCATTTTATACAATCCAATAAATAAAAATGACATCGATACCGAAAAACGTAAAATTGCGCCGAGAACTTGGTCTTTTCAGCGCAGTCTGTCTCATTATCAGCGTAATGTTGGGTGAGTAATTATTCATCAGGTATTATATGGTATACAAATAGGTTTATGTTATTAGCTGACTTTACTTCGACTTCAAATTATAATAATGTGTGATTTTCACTCTATAGGATCGGGAATATTTGTGTCTCCGGCCAATGCCTTAAAGAACACAGGATCTGTTGGCATGTGTCTGGTAATTTGGATGTCTTGCGGACTGTTATCGCTTTTGGGTAACTATTTTTTTAAATCGACCTTTTTATGGATGGTCCATCTATACAACATGTATATCTTGATAGCTGCTGTAGTTATATTATTACAATCGCTTTACCCGCAATAATCATGTTCAGGTGCCATGTCGTACGCCGAACTCGGCACGGTGGTCAATAAATCTGGAGGCGAGTTCAGTTTCTATCAGTCTGCATTCGCCGACATGCACAAGTTCTGGGGACCTCTGCCCAGTTTCATATACTCTTGGGTGAGCATCATGTACGTTCGCCCGGCCGAGGTGGCCATCATTATATTGACGTTCGCCGAATACTTCATCCGGCCGTTCAGCATTTTGAGTTCCATGACGCCCGAAACCGAACATATGGTGAAGAAGACCGTCAGCATACTCGCACTCGGTAAGTGAAGCTCTTAAATGATTTTTTGGTTGTTGTTGGTATTATTATTATTATTAAGTATAAGAACAGTAAGCTCTTATTACGATGTTTGTATGGGTGGTTTTTTTTTTAAGGTATCATAACTTTCATCAACTACACTAGTGTCAAGTGTTTCATAAAAATCCAAAACGTGTTCACTGTGTGTAAAGTCACCGCCTGCATAGTTGTCATAGGTGGTGGACTATATCAACTCTACCAGGGTGAGTGATTTGTATATTTTAACGATGAATTTCGAACATCGACTATATTGCCGTCATATTTTATCACTGTTTATCGTTACAGGAAATACCAAGAATTTGATGACTGGATTCGAAGGAACAACGTTATCCATAGACACACTCCCGATAGCCTTTTACAGCGGCCTTTGGGCGTATGACGGATGGTAAGTCTCATGATCGTGCGATAATCAGTGCTTTATTAGGAAAAAAAATAGTAGGGGTACTCTGCAGTTGTCACAAAAATAATTTTTTAGTCGGCTAATAATTAATATCCGTTACATATTATATAATTGGGGGGGGGGGTGCCCCATACGTCGCTTCCCCTTCATTACCATTTCATTTTATTTCCAAAATCTAACAAATATTTCATAACTTATTATTTTTAGGAAATTAGTATTTATTTTAAATGGATCAATAATAAAGTATAATTTCAATTATTTTAATTAATTTAGTTGCTTATAAGTTATAATATAATATAAATATTAAATATATACCGTGTGTCGATGTTATAGACTTAGACATATTTTGTCCACCAGTCAAACTTTGTAACCAATTATTACCCCAAACCAACCAAGTTAAATACTTAGAACTCATTTTCGACAAAAGGTTAACTTGGAAAGACCACATATTCGACAAAAGAAAGAAACTAAACTCCAGATTACATCTACTACGTCCTCTCTTACGATCAAATTTAAACCTTAAACTCAAAATCCTTATTTACAAAATGTTGATCTTTCCTCTATGGTATTATGGTATTCAAATTTGGGGTAACGCTGCCCCAAGTAACATCCAAAAAATACAATCATTCCAATCCATCTGCCTTCGCACTATTACAAAATCCCCCTGGTATGTAAGTAACAAAACCCTTCACTCCGACCTGAGAATAAATTACGTAAACCAAGTCACTAAAACTGCTTACCAAAAACTCCACAAAAAATTTAGCTCCCATAGTAACCCCAACATTAGTTTTCTTGCTTCACTACACATCCCTGACAACCCCCCTCGAAGACTCAAACGTAAATGGGTTAGAGACCTCCTCCATTAATTAATAAAATACCCAAGTAGGTAGCTCCATTGGGAGCCCTCCTACATCGTGCCATTTCATGTTATGTAATCCTCTTCATCACTATTACTTGTTGTGCTCAATTGTATAGTTGTATATTTTCTTATTAAAAAAAAAAAAAAAAAACCCAAAATTGACTAAACTAGAGCTAAGTAGAATTTAAATAATTTAAAAATTCAATTTAATTAATTTTTTTTTCTAACTACGTACTTATTTTTTTCTTCTAAACACCATGAAACAAACAAACAAACAATCAAAATTATTATTATTAAACTAATTACCTAATTATTTACTATTTATGAATTATTATCTTATTTTATTATTACGCATTATAAAATAACATAGTTTAAACATGTATTTTCAAGAAACAACATTTCTATTTTATTTTTTTTACCATTACTATACATTTTTATTTACAATTTAATTTACAGAAATTACAGACATAAACTATTCAATAAACTAAGAAAAAAATAAGTACGTACAGTTAGAAAAAAAATTAATTAAATTGAATTTTTAAATTATTTAAATTCTACTTAGCTCTAGTTTAGTCAATTTTGGGTTTAGGACATAAGTTGATACATCAAAATGGCTTGAAAAAAATCGATGAACCCGAATATGATATTAAAATTACGGGTTGCCATTTAAAAAAAATGTAAGTTTTATTGCGCATGCGCAAGATACATGAGTTAAAAACATTGTGAATCAAAGAAATTTACGATCCATTAGTCTAGTTTAATGTCCCGCAAACAGAATTGAAAAATATTTACATGGTAATGAGTAGTAAAGTGGCCCCTGATTTTTGGGACACACGGTATATATATTTATTTTGTACAAAATGTCTAAAATCAGTTCCAATATCCCAAGTAAAACAAGAAATATGTAAGGAAGCCATCACCGTAGGTGGTGAATAACCTTTTAAAGTTTTACGAAACATTTAACATTGTAATAATTGTAAACATACATTTTTTATTAATCTTAATTTGTTAAACTCCATAAACTAGAATATTTTTCTTTAAATTATTTACAATGATAATTATGCAAAAAAAATGTTGTATTTGCTACAAACTTGGAGCCCAAATATTATAATAGGTTATGTGGATATTATGCTAATATAGCGCGTACGTTTTGCAGGACCGCTACAACCGTGGTGTCGGAGGAAATCAAGAACCCTCGAAGGTACGTAAGATTTCTTCGTTTGATGACACATTTTATTGCTATCACTGCTCGCTATGTTTTTTCTTCTATACAACGACGAAATGTACGTGTTACAGGAACATACTGCTCAGTATTCTTTTGGCTGTACCGTTTGTCACCATGATTTATGTTCTGATGAACGTGTCGTACTTGACAGTTCTGTCGGTCGCGGAAATGACTTCAGTCCAGGCGGTAGCGGTAGTGAGTATATTATACTGCTTAGCAAAGTCGATATTCGATTTACCTAGTATTTATTTCCGTCTGCGTGAAACAATTTTAACGTTTTTAATTCTTAGGAATTCGGAACTCGAGCACTGGGAAGTTTTAGTTTTATAATTCCACTCGGCGTAGCCACGGCGACTTTCGGCTGTGCCCTTAGTGTCCAATTCGGAATAACCAGGTCAGTTGCCGGTTTGGTGTTTAAAATAAACTTAATTTCTCGTTATACGTATTTAATTTGTTCCATGATTGTATGTGATTTGTTGTTGTCGTAGGTTGTGCTTTGCCGCGAGTAGAGAAGGTCAAATGTTGGAAGTCTTCTCTTACGTGAGCGTAAAAAAGCTGACGCCCGCTCCCGCTGTCGTTTTACAGGTAATGTCAATATAGTTAATACGTTGTACTTTTTACATGGAATTCTTATTTTAATAAGTGTCGTTGTCGAGTATTTTATAACAATTTAATGTTTTTTTTTCAGGGTTTGCTCACGTTAATTTGTCTGTTGTGTGGAGACATTGTGGTGTTAATAGAGTTCGCTAGCTTCTTAGTGTGGATGTTCTACGGTATCTCCATGGCGGCATTGTTAGTGATGCGTTATACCAAGAGAGACGTTAAACGTCCATTCAAAGTAAACACATCATTATATTGTCGTACTAACGACATTAATGCTATATACCACCTCTATGGTGGTGCCAAATAACATCTCTCCCGTGTCCTACTATGGACTTATAGGATACTCTATATATCGGGGGAAAATAACATGATGAAATTATTCATCTTACATCGACTCGATGAATCAATTATATTGTTGCTCCGGGTGCAGTCGTTATATAATATTCCGTTTGTCACCTTTATGGTGGCGGTACAGTCCGTATAATATAATATAGTAACGTTTTCTTCGATGTCCTACTATGGGCTTTATATATGACTCCGTGCTTCGAGGGAACGTTTAAATGTTGCAAAATAATATGATGAAAATATTCATCTTAATATATTGTGTATTGGATCGAATAAATCGATTTTTCCGGGTCCTCAAAGGACTTAAAATTCCCACCTCATCCGTTGTCGGATGCGGTGTATAACTATATTATATAATAATATTACATTGTATTAATTTTCCGTGATTGTGTTTCTTTCACTAGCGTCCAATTATTTATAGGTATAGATAATATAATATTTCGAATGATTAGGAGGGTATCATATAACCTTTGTTCCGCCTGCACGACGATGACCTCATATATGACACGTCAATGTTTATGGTAACGAAATGAAATCCTATATATATACTGCTCTGCACATACACACACACTCGCAAACACTATATATAGGTGTATACTGACAGACTGTATATATAAATATATAAAAATTATATATGGCATGTAGGTATATGTTTATAGCTGTCGTACCTACCCCGCAAGAAGTATGTAGCTTCGACAAAAAGAAACGTATCGTTTGAGCACGCTACGTGGGTCGGCGAAAAGTTCCTCGTTTTTAATCTGTACATTTTGTTTTCTGTCCGTTCACGCAGGTACCAATCGTCATTCCAATATTCGTGCTCATCGTGTCCACCGTTTTGTTCATCACACCCATTCTCAACGATCCCAAGCCACAGTTCCTCATTGGTCTTGTGTTCATTCTGTCGGCGTTTTTGATATACATTCCATTTGTGTACCAGAAAAAGAGGTTATCGATAGTCGGTACGTATATCTATGTATTATACTTAAAAATTATAATATTTCAACGTCGACAAATTTGCATTTCTTATAAATGTATCAGCTGGGTTGCCAAAGTAATAAGTATCAAATATTTCGCAATGATTTATAATCGTGACGTTGTATACCAAAAGTCTTGATTTTTGAGTTTGTACTTTAAATGTACGCCTCTACCTATCATAATTTTTTTTATGTTTTTAAATATGAATGATTATAAGATTTTCAAAAATATACAGATTACGCCTATTTTTAATAATAATGTTTATTGTTGTATAATATATAAATGTTATTTGATTATTAGTGTACAAGGTAGACCTACTTTAACTCATAAATCATTATTAGTTTTAAATTATAATAACTTCCAAATAGTATTTAAATAGTCAGATATAGCTACCTATTTGTATATTTAAATTTAGTATACCGACATTTCCTCCCTCTCCCTCCGAACACTGTCAACATTGTCTGAGGATAATAGTCCGAATGTATACTGTGTGATAATAGCTTTAGTAGCCACTATAGCCATTTGTGGAGTTACCTAAACGTATGGTCTTTTTGTTCTTTGTATACAGATAACTTCACGAAGTTCATTCAAGTATTAATGGTGGTTGTGCCGCCGGAGAAAGATGAAACGGATGCTGAGGAAAATTGCAGCGTGAAAGACGACGAAGGCGAAACTGAGGCACCAATGATCGCCGCGGTGGTATAAAGACCATCTTAATATAATATATTATAGCCCTCGTTTTCCGAATAACAAGTTTTCCGGTTGGCTGCGTTTTACATTACTATACAATATTAATTAATAATGATTATAATATACACGACTGTGGAAACGGAATTCTAATTTATTATTTAATATTAATTTTGCGTCGTAGCCATGCGACACATAAGTGGCGAGTCTGTGATATTAGGATTAACAAATGTATATAGTCTGTATATATTATATAACTACCGTCGAAACAGTCGTATATTACGTTAAGAATAACGCCAATGAAAATTGCATTAATGATAATTTTTTTATATAATAGATTTTTTAATTTATTCATCTCTTGTATTATTATTATTTATTATAATTTGTATTTATAATATTTATATAAAAGGTTTTCGCTGTGTCCTATGTATATTTACCAATTACTGATAATTGGCTGTATATATAATATTATAATATACTAATGTTATAATATTATATAAGCCATGTGGTTCGAATTATTGTACTGATTTTATTACGATTTTATTGAAATTTTTTATTTTTGAATAAAGTGTTGAAAAGATGAAAATATTTTTGTCAAATGTATATAATTTAATATCTCACAGTTTCTACTTATCGTGACTGGTATAATAATAATAATATGTTATGTATACTTATATATGTAAATATGTTTATTGTATATTATTATATTTTTCTATTCTTTATCATAATTTAAAATTATATAATATAACGCATATTTTCTAATAATAAATAATTAATTGATTATTTAGTAATATTTTTTTTTTACTTTTTGTACACACTACATAATATGGGTCAGGAGTATAATTATTAATTACCTAATACCTGTTACACCAAGCAATACAATTTTACCAGAATCCAGCAGGATTGGTTTTAGGTACCTACGCGTTTTTATAATATTGTGTATCTATCACACACTTTAAAGTTTAAAGAAACAAATTTACATAATAGTACCTATCTAAAAGTTTAGTTGAACTAGTGAAAAGAGTATTCAATAAAATGAGTGTGTATTGAAAAAAATTGTCCCTAAGAACTTCTAATGGTTCTATAATTTACCAAACTAACTACAAATCTTTACCGATTTAGATATTATAAATATTTAGTTATGCTATTTCTTCCAGTAAAACAATACAATACATAGTTCTAAATAGTTTATACATAGGTTATTTTATCATCCGTTCTCTGTTGTGTATTTCTATTTTACGTTACCTACGAGTGCTACGACTGGTTATGAATAATAACTATTATTATTGTCTTCATTGACATTTGACATAATAGTAAAATGTGTGAAGCCAACTAATATTATTTTATAATGAGTTCTTAGAAGAAGGTGTGAAATGTCTATTTTTATAAAATTAAAAATAAGTATAAACCACGTTCGAAGATTATTTTTTGAAAATGTTCGCCCTATGGCAGAAATTAAAACAAATTAGTATGCTCAGTATACTAATATTATGTGACTATTGAATGGGAGAGAGTGGTTTGGATGGGCGAAGTTGATCATTATATGTATAGATAATCCAAGATCATCAGACTAATTGATAGTATTGGGGGCTCCAGGCTCTAGCATCCCCAGTATTTTTTGATTTTTTTTTTTGATCAAAGTTGTGTTCCTGCATAATATTATATTATTTACCTAGACTATAGTAGACTATACGATTGTTTCGTTTTATTTTTAAATTGTTTAGTCTCATGCATATAAATATTTGTGTAAGGACATAACTATAGATAAGGTATAATATGTAGTTGTATTTATAAATAATAAAATGTTTTTAAAATCGGATAAGTTAGGTTAAACATTTGTATACATTTTGTAAACATTAAAATAGTAACTAAGTGTTATGCTTATAAATACGCAGCGATACCTCGGTGCAAAATCTATGGTGGGGCAACCGCGAAGATTCATCGCCGACAGTAATATTTTATTAATTATTTTGTGCATAAATTGTAGAGGTAGGTTTGTGTACAAATGTGTAGGACCTATATGCACATATGTATTTTTTTGTATATAGTTTAAACTACAGCGATTGATCCACAGACGCAATTTCAACTTTTGACTTTTGAGAGGCTGAATATAACGAAATCTATAAGAAAGTTCTATAATTTTCTTCATTAAAAACAAGAAAAGAGAATTCCAAATATTAGTTTCAGTTTTATATAGTTTAAAAATGCTTACTAGTTATTAAATAACACTGATTATTGATAGAAAAAAAGTTTTTGGAATTTTCAGAAATAGTTTGAATTACGAGAATATATTATTATGAATAATGAATACTTACAAATATACTATAACTATGTATGATAAATCTTGCATTCAATTTTCAGATATTAATATTAATAAGAAAATTAAAATAATTTTCAAAATCTCATAAAATTGCTAAACAATTTTCAGGACTTATATTTTTATAAATTAATTCTTTTTGAATAAGAAATTATTTAATTCATAATATATTTTTTGATATAAAATCAAGTACTCTGTTTTGTTTTATTTTATTTTATTTATTATTGTATTCCTACTAAATAATTTTATATTCTGAGCGTAGCAATGAATGAATAATTAGTTTTACAATGATGTGTGTTTTTTCCCATCTGTCATCAACTTATGGGACACTAAAAATGCTCCAATTTTCATCTTTTCTGATAGAAAAGTGAATCTAGTTGGTATATCAAATAAGTCAAAATGGAAAAATTCCATTAAAAGCTTCGGGAAAACCAACAAAAATTATGAATAATGGAAAAACACAGGAATTGATGTACCTAATTCAAAAACTAAATATCCTAAATACTTTACATTTTTTCCAAATATTAATATTAGGATTTCCCAAACATTGAATTCAAATCTAACATATCCATTACAATTAGTGATGACCAAAACAAGACCAAGATTCTTGCAAGACTCTTACTATTTTCACAAAATATATAAAGAAATAACTAAATACCTGTTATACCTGGGTGTAGGTTTTTTGCTGTGATCTCTGAAATGATGAATAATGAATCTGAAGTCCAATGTATTATAATATAGTATATTAATAATTCATAAACATAAAACAAGTAAAATAATTGGTCTTGGTCTTGGTCTCGCAATTTTGATCATCACTGTATACTATATTATAATATATTAGACTTAAGTTTCATCTTAGAGATCAACCTACATACAGCTATAACAGGTATTTAGTTTTAGATTCTGAGTGAAACGATTAATGTATTGATTTTACAATGATGTGTGTTTTTTAATTTTTTAATTTTTGTGTTGTGTACACAATAAGTAGTCGAAATAATGCTTCGATTTTCAACTTCAGTATCTTGTTCGATTGGAAAGTGAATATCGTTGGTGCATTGTGGAGGTCAAAATAATAAACTAATAATAAAATTCCCAGTTATTTTCAAAAGCGCCAAGAAAAACAAAAGAAAAATTGAGGAAAAACGGGAATTTGTACGCAAAATCGATTTTCCACAAAATTGAATTTGGTTTTTGGTGTAACTTTAAAACAAATGACCGTAGATACATGAAATTTTCACCGGTTGTTTATATTTGAATTTTCTATACACGATAACATTTTCAAAATATTTTGATTTATTTTGAACTGTTTAGGAACATTTTCATTTTCCATTTTTTTTTAGTTTTTTTTCTAAATATATCAATAAAATTGTATTTGTTGGTTAAAAAAGCTTGAAAATTTAATAGACGGCTCCTAGTATATTCTTTCAAAGGCAGATGAAAATTATTAAAAATCCTTAGTCACAGTTTTTTTTTTTATAAGCATTTAAAGTTCGAAAATTGACAAAATATGGAAAAATCAAGCAATTTCTACGCAAAATCTGTTTTCGAGAAAATCGATTTTGGTTTTAGGTGCAACTCTAAAACAAATGACCTTAAGTGCCTGAAATGTTGACTGAAATGTTGAGATGTTTACGGACATTTTCAGTTTCCATTTTTTTTAGTTCTTTTTTCTTTAAATATCAATATAATTTTATTTGTTGGTTAAAAAAGCTTGATAATTTAATAGAAGGCTCCTAGTATATTGTTTCAAAGGGATTTTCAAAAAATTAAAAATCCATAGTCACAACTCACAATTTTATTTTATAAGCATCTAAAGTTCAAATATTTAAAAAATGACGAACATTTTTAAATTATTTTGAGTTATAAATTCATGAAAAATTTTCTTTTTAAATCTATAAAGATTAGAAAATATAATACAAGATTGCTCATAAGTTTCTCACAAAAAACTCTAACCTAACCTTTCTCACAAAAAAAATGTCTGCAAGAAAGTCAAATTAAATTTTTATGAGCGTTTGAAATTCATATTTTTACAACATATGATATTCACTCGATTTCTCATTTAACGATTTTCTTATTTTGTTGTACTTCAAAAACGAATAACTGTAGATATGTGAATATTTCACTGAATTGATAATATAAACATATTATCAATTCTTATACTTGGTAAAACTTTCAAAATATTTTGACAGCTTTTTGAGCTGTTTACGGGCATTGTCAGTTTTCAATTTTTTTTATATGAATATCAATTAAGTTTTATCTGTTGGGCCAAAAAGTGTAAAAATGTAATACAAGGCTCCTAATATATTGTTACAATATCAGTTGAAAAATATTAAAAATACATATGCACAATTTTTTTTATACGCATTTAAAGATCGAATTTTGACAAAATTTAAAAAAATGTAAAATTGATGTTCAATTTCAAAGAAAATGTTCAACTTTTATAGTATCTAAGGATTGAAAATTAATTCCACGAAAAGAAAATAAAGACAAGATTCCACGTAAGTAGTTAATTCTGTTACCAAAAAATCTAAAAAATACAGAAGGACAGTTTATTTTTATAGTCATTTTAAGTTCAAATTTGGACGAAATTACATATTAAAAAACCTAGTTATTTTGTTGTGATTGTATAATATATTATTCGTGGGTACTTGAAACTTCTAAAGTGTACTAGTACTACTATATATCTGTGATAGTTTCACGGTTTTTTGTTGATGTATAAAATGTTATAAGTACCTAATGGATATTGTGATATGATTAATTTGGAATTTATTATAGGTACCTAGGTACTTATTATAGGTCAATATTTTTTAAAATTCCATAGATATGTAAATAATATGTCTTAAACCTAGACTGACATACCGTCTCAGAATCGTTTTTCTTATACAATGATAATATATCATTGAATTCAAATTTAATACCATCCATTATACAGTGACCCACTTGTAACCTACTGTACAGCAGAGCACCTTTTTTTCTTTAAATATTTTGTGAAAATAGCAAAAGTCTTGGTCTTGTTTTGATCACTATAATTTTCAATGACATACTTACTCGACAACTATATCTACTGCGAACAGCGGAGTGGTACACTTTACATTGGTACACACTTACCCACTTAAGTCTACAAGTCCATTTTTTTTTTTATTTTTACACTTCAACTTATTTGAATATAACTGAACAGCAATCCTTTTAACGATTATCGGTCAATATCTCTAAAATAATATTATATTGTTAATATAAATTAATTAAATATTTTAAATATCAACCGTTGAATATAGGTAACAAAAATTACCACGTGAATATTGTTGAGTGTGTTGAACAATTTTATTGTTAGCATATTTTCTATATAAATACTGTTATGCTCTCTGCGGACCCGCTTTTTCTGACCTTCCCACCGACACGAAGGAATAAGCGCTACGACGCTACTGCTCTGCGAGAGGATGAAGAATCTTTCAGAGTGTTCTACTAGTCAGTAGAGGGTATCAAGAAGAATGATAAGCATGCGAGACAACTCGAGGAGTGGCGGCCTATAATGATGATGGACCTGTGGCTATCACGATGCTATTGGAGGAGCCACAAGCCACCAAGTCTCTTAATCGCTCATCTTATAGCATGTAGTAATTTCATTCTTTGAGAATATTTAATATTGCAATGGAATGTTTCAGTTACACTTCAGCTAGGTATTTTAATAAAAAGAGCGTATTTTATTGTCATCCACGAGTGTTAAAATGCTTAGATATGAATCTGCCAGCTCTGGGTACTTACGTACAGTAGGTACCTATATACATACATATTATTTTACAAAAACGAGTAAAAAAATTGAAACGAATAAGAGAAGCGTCATAACTTGTGGTGGGGTGAATTTAACCACAGGGGTGGGCCTGGAGTCATCCTCCCAGCGGCCCAGCATCGCTGTTGGTGGGGGTGGGGGTGTATGGGGAGCGTGTCAGTTTAGGGTGGGTGGAAGGGGTAACACGGCGCTCTCTGGCGATCAAACCAACCGGCCACCGCTTTGGCATACTTAAGGTATTGATCTCGGCGGTTTTACCAAGGCCAAAATATTGTGAAACGTTGTCGTTGCCGCCGCCGCAGTGCCAATGCACAGATAACGAAATATATACACTGACTTAAGATACTCCTTACACACCTCACACGCTTAAACACGTACCTACATAGCGCCCACGCGGACCCACGTCCACGTCACACACCTGCAGTTACTGCTGCGCTATGGGTCAGCCGATATACTTGTCGCTGTTGACCATCACAGTCTGCCTGATTACTTTGTTGGCCACGTGCCCCGCGTTGGCCGTCGGTTGGCCGGTCGACAGCAGTTTTTATGATGAGATCAAGCGCGTAGTGTATGGTGGTGGCGAAAACATCGACGACTCCGTTGCCGCCACTGAATCATCACCGCTACCGGCATTGTCATTGCCGTCGTCGTCACAGGCGAGTATAATATAATATATTAGATGCAAATAGCATAATAACATTAAACAACGAAACCTATTATAAATGTGTATTGTGTAAGGCATGAGGTTAGCACATAGGTTGGGGTAATAGGGAGAGTCGCATGTTTTTTATAATCGCTCATAAATAATCCAAATTTTTACATTTTCCATCTGTTTTTTTTTTACAAACTGTTTTCTAATACAAATTAGATCAAAAAGTATGTAACCTCGACGGCTGTCGATAACCTATTAAGAGAGATATGTCGAGATATATAAGTAAGTTGTAGGTATATATAATATGGACACTATAATATATACCTACAGGGTCACAATACCTTGTAGGTAATTATTATCATACATTATTATCATCATTGTTAATTATTGCTAAAGATTCGATCAACTTTCGTAGGTAACTATAATAATTATATATATATAGAGACTTTTTTTCCGGGATTTTTTATACCCTATCCCTATGTCATCGAAATTTTGACTTCAATCCCTCATAAAAAAATGTTGTGTCTTTACGAAAAAAACTTTAAAGAAATCTTGTTTTACATTTCAATCCTTAGGTAATAAAATTAAAAATTGTTTACTATATTATTTATTCTATAATTGGACATATTTTCGATATTTTAAATAATTTCGTAATAATTTGTATTTTAAATAATAAAAAAAAAGTGATTTTCAATTTTTTTTTTATATTTTATCGTACATAAATCGAAAATAAACTTAAATAGCAAAAACTTTTAAATGTTTATAAATGGCTTAAAAATTGTTAAAATATTCTCAACATTAAATCATGTTTATAGTAAATTCTAATATGAATATTTGGCGAAATTGTAGAATCTCTACAGTCTATAACTATTTATATTTGAATAACGAATTACAACCTACCTTACTATATATTATATTAAGTTAGGGAGAAGTGCGTTGAACGCAATGCTAATTATCGAGTGTAAATTTGTAAGTATATGATAATATGTTAAGGCAACTATTTAAATTTAATATTATATTGCGAATAATAGACGTTAAATATATAATACTATAAATTACTATCATCTATTATACCAAAGAGTGTCAGAGACTAAACTTGTAGTTTTATATAATTATATATTTTTTATATATTTGAATACTAGTACATAATACATACATAATGAGGTATGTACTTTCTATAAGGAAGAGCTTGTGTCAAAAGTAGAGAGTTAGATACCTACAATTTAATCAGATTACAAATACACAAAACTCCCGTAATTCTTTCAATTCTTTTACTCTTATTCTTAATACTTAATATATATCATGTATATCATTAATCTTAAATAATAAAAAAAATCTCAATTATTCTGAACACGGCTACACTTTAATTTTATTATTTTCCTACGCTTCAATTAACTAAACTTAATAACTAATAACAAAATAAAAATCTAATCACATCTGTAACTTCAACTACTTAAGAGGTCCGGCGCCTCCACCAATATGTAACGTGGTCGGGGATGACCCGTTAAATATAAGATATTCAGGGAAGAAATTAATTCTTTTGAATATATTTTTACCGTAGCTCGGGAGCACGAATGGTATTAGGATCTTAATATTACAAATAAATAACGATTGATCTAAATTATTATTAATACAAACAAATTATTTATTATAAATTACAATTTACGAACAAAGTTACCAAAAATGTAGGATTGTACGGAGTTCAGGTGCACGTGATGGACTCGCGGAGAACTCCCATTCTCTTACATTGGCCGGAGCCTTACAAATTACAATCATAAAATATATATGTGTCACCTAAACCGGAGGGGCTTAATATATTATAGTCAGCGCATAATATGCCTAATGTGCATATTATGATGCTTATAAAATAAACGTTATGATGTAACATAGTAATTATTACGTTACACTACAATAGGTACCTAGGTACCTACAATATTGTATTTAAACATAAAATAGTGTTTTAATTAGGTAACTACGCATTGGGCATTTACGCATATAATTTGCATTCAAAAATAAATGGCTCTCAATAATCTTAATTTATATATGAACAGGACATAAACAGGCCCATAGAAGTAGAAGGATGGCCAAGAAGCCCGATACCTCGCCTAGGACAAGTGAGCGGGGTGGCAATAAACACGGTGGGGCAACCTGTGATTTTTCACCGGGGAAGCCGTGTCTGGGACGAGAAGTGAGTCTAACCATTCTATACTGTTTGGCTGCAGAATGTTAATAATTATTAATATTCATCGAATGTGTTTAGTTCATTCAACGAAACATTCCACTACCAACATGTAGAGGAAGGTCCCATTTTAACAAACGCCATTGTCACCCTGAGTCCGAAAACCGGCGAGGTTTTATCTAGCTGGGGAGCAGGTTTCTTCTACATGCCCCACGGCATCACAATAGATCACCAAGGGAACGTATGGGTCACAGATGTGGCAATGCATCAAGTGTTTAAGGTTAAAAAACACCGCTTTTATAATATATTATAATTTTCCGCTCAAAAACATAAAAACCCATCCACAACGCATGTTGACATATAACGGAATAATGGTGATAAAAAATAAACAGTTTTCGCCCGGAGCGCCCAGAGCGTCATTAACCTTTGGCAAGAGATTCGAGAACGGCAAAGGATACAGGACATTGTGTCAACCTACTTCAGTGGCCATCGCTTCGACCGGTGACATTTTCATTGCTGACGGATACTGCAACTCTAGAGTTTTAAAGTTCACAAGCCGAGGAGAGTTGCTACGAGTTTTTCCTCACGCCAACGGTAAATTACTATAATTTATTAAAATAGAATAGAAACTAATTCATTTTGAGTCATGACTCATATTCATTGGATAACACGGTATCTACTACAGTATATATATAACTTATTTAGCACTATTACCTAGAGAAGAAGTCTAGTATAGAAAAAAGTTTGAAAAATAATTGTAAGCTAAAAGTGTTTAAGTAGTCACTGTTTGTCAAAATCATCAATTTAATTAGAAAACAGTTGACGTTTAACATAATTAAAAATGAAATATATCATGCAACACATTTAAAAACGGGACATTAAATTACTAAGCTACTATATTAGATAACAAAATGTCTATATACTCCAGTATACAGTTACAATAAAAATTCACATTGAGGCAGGCGCGTATCCAGAATTTTATTTCGGGAGGGGCTGAACAAAATTATCAACATAGTCACACAATAAAACAAAAAAGTGGGTAAGTGGATGTCGCTCTGTTGTACAGTAGGTTACAAGTGGGTCACTGTAATGGATGGTGTAAAATTTGAATTCAATGATATAATATCATTGTATAAGAAAAACAATTCTAAGCGAAAACGGTCAGTCAGCCTATGATATTACTAAGTATATTTGATGATATTATTGTGAATAAAGTAATTTATATATTTACCTATTTAACGTGGACCATTGTTTTAAATTTTCAATTCTTAACTATGAACGTAGAACATTTTATAAATTTTTAATTACAAAATATTTATTACATTTTAAATTTTGTCAAAATTCGAACTTTAAATGATTATAAGAAAAAATTGTGCCTATGTATTTTAATATTTTTCAACTAATATTGTTACAATATATCAAAAGCCTTGCGTTAAAATTTCACGCTTTTTTACCCAACAAAAAAATTTTTATTGATATTTATAGAAAAAAAACTAAGAAAAATGAAAACTGTCAATGTCCGTAAATAGCTCAAAAAGAAGCAAAATATTTTCAAATTTTTTTGGGGTATAAAAAATGAAAACATTCAGCAAAATTTTAAGTTATGTGATTTTTCCGTATTTTGTCAAGATTCGAACTTTAAATGCTTATAAAAAAACTATGACTAAGGATTTTTAATATTTTTCAACTGCTACTGTAACAATATAACAGGAGCTTTGTATTAAATTTTCAAGCTTTTTTACCCAATAAATAAAGTTTTATTGACATTCATATTTTTTGGATTTTCTTGAAATTTCAGGGGGGGCTGCAGCCCACCCAGCCACCCCCATAAATACGCCCCTGCATTGAGGTATATTATATTAAAAGTATAATAAATTGTGAATAATTGATAGGACCTATATATATAGGTCATCGAGATACTGAGTTCAAAAGTTTCAACCATTAATGGTTTTTGAATTCAATCTATAGGCACAATTGTTTTTCTTGTGGGAAGGGGATTGAACAATTTAATTTTAAATGTTTTATAAACATTCCTAGTTTAGATTGAAAACGTTTATTTTACTTTACCATCTTTACCCTTAACATTTCATTTGATAGCTATAAAATATTTTACAACTTTATTATTATTTCTATCAATGTAGCATTTATTTTGTTTGTAAGTATTTGATAGGTACAAGCCCGGATTAAGGGGGGGCAAGGGTGGGACGGTCCCAAGGCTCATCTTTATCCCTAAAATAGTTTAAAAAAAATATATGTATTTAAGTAGGTAGATATAGGTAGTAGGTAAATTATTATTACTTAATAAATAATAATTATAAAATAAAATTGTTCTCAATTTTATATCACGAAAAATTACTATAAATAATGAACTGTGTTGGCTAACACAATTTTGATTATGTTTTTTTTTTCTGAGCATTTTCGATTACTGATTTAACTATTTAGGTATATAGGTAGTTCTAAGAAAAAAATATTTAGCTCTTGTAAATTAAGTATTACAGTTAAAAGTATTCATGCATATTATACTAACTTTCGAGGACCATAGTTAATAAGTAATAACCTAGCAAACTAAAATTGATCATTTGACTGTCAAAATGTTCAGACAAGCTTTACTAGAATCCATAAAAAAATATAGTGGTTAGGAGGTAGGTATACGGACCATTTGAAAAAAAATAAAGTCGATTTTATTATTGGTACAACTGCGTGTTTAAAAATTTTGAAAATGTTATAAAAAAAATGCCTGTTAAAAATAAAGAAACACGTCTTTTTTTGTTTTAACGAAATTCTATATCATCGATTCATAATTGTTGAAAAAAAAACCGCGTACTATGACATACGATACACTCTGTATATTTTTTGCATAGTAAAAAATTATACAATAATATAAAGTTGTTAATATGTAATAATACAATTATTTTCGAAGTTAAAGTTGAAAGGGGGCCCAATTGATCCTTAATCCGGGCTTGGATAGGTATGTCTATTGTATAATGTAAATCACTATGTAAATAATGTGCTAGGTATAAGTAGATATTGTAGATAGGTATCTGTGTTTGTGTCTACATGTATGATGTTATTTTTATACAAATAGTATGAATAACACTTTATTCGTTAAATTTGAGGATAAGAATTAGATAGGTACCTACATATAATTATTTGGAAACAAAACGGCTATTGTGTTTTTTCTACCTACCCAACTATATATAGGTTTCTAAGTATTACTATACATTTCAGTATAGAGAAAAAATGTGTACGAAAAACGATTTATAAAATAATTTTAGTTAGGAAATGATTAGGCGAGAATTATTAACGAAAATAACGATATTTTATTTGTAACTTATTTTTAGAAACAGACTATAGATTGCACTTGTATTATTATACTATATTAAATATTTATACAGATTACAGACATATAGTCCGAAAGACGATAATTGTACGGATTTGAGATGCTTATAGGAATATATTTTAGAATACGTTCGTGCGTATACCGTGTTTTTAATTCGTCTGTGTTATAAATTATTGTGTTATTAGAATTTCTGAGCCTTCAAGTACCACACAGCCTAGCGTTGCTCGAAAAACACGACCTCATCTGCATTGCTGACCGTGAAGATATGAGAGTCGTGTGCAGGGGCGCTGAGCTTACGACAGAAAGCAAAGAACAGGCCCCGTTAACGATTCAACAGCCAGACTTGGGAAGGGTGTACGCGATAACCAATCACGGTATGTGTTGAGGTGTTGCAAGAGGAGTGATAAGGACAGGGGGATGGGGGTATTGACAAATCGAGTTTCGTCTAAACGACAAACGTTTTTATTTCTTTTGAAGGCGATCTGATTTACGCCGTCAACGGACCTACATCACCCCTGATACCGGTACGAGGATTTACCATAAACCCTTTGACCGAGAACATTGTCGATCACTGGACACTATCCAAAAATGCAGTGAGTTATACCTACCATTATGGCCATATGCTATATAACAGTGGCGGATCCAGGGCTTATTTTTTATTTTATTTTTGGGGGATGGCATGAGGTGGCAAAAGTCCAAAAATTGGCTAGTCACAGTGTAAAACATAGGAAAACTATGGTTATTGGGAGGGGGAGAATGCCCCCTTTGCCTACTATTGATTCGCCAATGATATATAGTAAATAATAATATATATATAATATTATATATTAATATATTATACATTTATACTCTACCATCACCATGTTACCATGTCGGCCGCTTATAAGTTATAAGTTTATAACTTAATATTATATATTTTATAGATATAAAATAATTAGATTTTATGTATAACGAATTAATGAATAGGTTAATTATTTAAAATTTAAATACTTTAGTAATTTGTCTTAGGTACTAAGGTACGCTAAGTAAACAATGATTTTATATTATTATTTAATATTTATAGAATATTTAAACATACGTAGTACATTAGTACCTATATATTTATCTATAACTTATCAAAATTGAATTGCGTCTTGTTTTTCAGGCTATCAATGTGCCGCACGACATAGCTATTTCGAAAGACGGTTCTTCGTTGTACGTAGCTTCCATCAGTCCGAACCGCATAGTGAAATACACGATGACGTCAGTTACTCCATTGAAATCCGAATAATATTCAAAAAATATTCTACATGCAAAACTACACAATAACAATATTTATTTTATTCCATAGAATTAGGTCACGATTTATTCATTATTTTATTATTGGTTAATGAATATAACGATATATTCGATGATCCATTAAATTAATGATTGGACAATTAAATTCAATTAAGCCTAATGTTACAAGTAGCCAGTAGGATATATTTTCCTAAATTCTGTTCGGTTTACTTATAATAAATAAACGTACATAAAATAGGTATTTATTATGTGACTATGAGACTATGTGAGTATTCTATGTAGGTAGGAGGGGGGTAACTTACTACTACATTAAAATATTGAATACAATTTTGAGAATTAAAACCATATTTTTAGCGTCTATAGAAAAATATATTATTCTGCACCCTGCAGTGGTTCACGAGTTGGATTATCACTTTGGTCTGTATTTGCATTGACATTAACACAGAGAACCTATCGAAATGTAATAATGTTCACTATAAATTAATTATATTAAAGTACAGAACCTTATTAGGTAAATATAGTATAGTTGTAGTAGGTACCTAATAAATACGCATTTTACTAAACAGCAGTTGCTTAATATTTAATACTTTATACAAATATAACATACATAAATAATATATTCAGTGCTTGAATTGGCAGGGGACAGGGGGACGGAGCTCCCCTACGGTTTTTATTTTTTTTTTAAGTACCCCAACTATTTTTTGTATGGTCTGTGTTGAATAATTGCGCCCTTGGAACGCAGTTTTTAAATCGTTAGATTGAGCTCCTCTACTTAATTTTTCCAAATTCGAGCACTGAATATATTGATATGAATATATGATGATTGATAATATTATAATTATATATTGTTATATATTATATATACTTAGATATATATATGGGCTTTTGACATAGGTATTATATTTGTAACACATATATTATAATTTATATTGTACCATTAAATACTAAAATGCTACGATTATTTAATACCTAGGTATACCGTAAATATAATATAGACAATATTGTAACTTGTAAAGTATTTGAGTAAAAATATTCGAAAATATTTTTAAACATTTGACTTTTATTCGAAAAATAGGCGGGTAATGTGTAATATTATTAGCCCACGGCCCGCTCCAATACTCAGCTACCAAAGACCAAAGACCACTATAGTCGAGCGGGTTTCAACTTTCAATGTACTGTACTGTATTGTACTACTGTCCGTCTATTACAAAGAAAAGAACTAATATGACCGACGATAACTGACTTATCTACATGATTACATCATGTTTCTTATTTGAAACCCCAATAAAACCCCTTCCAATTTACTCATTGAATAATTTTGTAAATAAAAAGGTGGGTAAGTGGATGTCGCTCTGCAGTCTGCTGTACTGTAGGTTACAAGTGGGTCACTGTTAAAGGATGGTATTAAATTTGAATGCAATGATATAATATCATTGTATTAGAAAAACGATTCTGAGCGGAGACGGTATGTCAGTCTAGGTATAAGACATATTATATACTTTTCTATGGTATTAAAATATTAAATTATATGGAATTTATGAATAAATTCCTTAAAATATGCACAGTCTTATCATGAGCATAATTGTTATTCCTTATACTATGGTAGATTGTATGGATAGGCCATAATATTTTGATTTTTCAGTTTCATATATCCCCGAATAATATTTTTAAATTACAACAAAAACAAAGATCGTTAATATTGATTTTAATATGTAATTTCGTTCAAATTTGAATTTAAAATGTCTGTAAAAAATAACTGTGTTCATATTATATTTTTTAGATTTTTTGGTTACAGTATGAACTATTTATGAGAACCTTTGTTTTAAATTTGCAATCTTTAGCTATAAAAACTGAACATTTTATAATTTATTAATTACAATGATTGATAATTTTCGAGATTTTGTCAAAATTCGATGTTTAAATGCTTATAAAAAAAAATTGTGCATATGTATTTTTAATATTTTTCAATTGCTAGGTACTGTAACAATATATCAGGAACCTTGTATTAAATTTTTACACTTTTTGACGCAACAGATAAAACTTTATTGATATTTATAGAAAAAAAAAACTAAAAAAATTGAACAAATTTAACAATTCGAATCTTTTCTTATCTACCGCAATGTTGTCACGTTTTGACGCACATCACCTTATCAGGATTCGTTGATAATAAAATCACAGAATAGATTAAATAATAGAATATTTTTTAAGTGTGTGTTATCATTCACAGATATTTTGGAACAAATTTCGTATTGAAAAAAAAAATTTATATATTTTTAGAGTTAGGAAACCGAGATTTAAGGAATTATGTATTAATACAGGTACGGTTCGTAGGAGGGGCAGTTGCCTACTCTGCCACCCCCGTAGTACCACCTATGCTTATGTTAAATAAACTTCTGAATATAAAAGACTATATTAATAGGTAGGTACCTATTACTTTACAAACTTACAAAATAAAAACCAAATAGTTGGCTAACTATATACCTATATTATTAAATTATTTACAACACTGCAAATTATAGATTATTATTTATTTTATGTTAGGAAATAGAATATATAAAAAGATTATAATAATATTAGATCAGGGATTTATATAGTTATAATAGGTATATATACAACACATGGTTAATGAGTATTCATATACAGTGGTGTCATTATAATTTTTTTTTTTAATAGGTATGCGTATGCAATGCGTACTAAGCATATCATTATGCCTGTCTATAATTTATACCTTTTTAAGGCCAACCAATTTAAGAAATAGGCAAAAACACAATGATATTGGATTTTAAATCTGCAAGGTGAGCGTTTGTCTCTATACCTCTCATTGATTTCAAAAGCAGCCAAATAGGCTGGTAGAGAAACGACTATTTTTATAATTTTGAGGAAATATAATATTGTGTAAGTAGGTACTGGGAAATTATTGCCACAATAATAATTAATAAGCACAATAAATACAGTATTATATTATACATTTATACCTATAGTTTTTTAATTGGCACTTGGCATAAATAGATGCGTGGGCATGACGTATATTTATGTGTACATTGCCACATTGGTGGTGGTGTGTGAAGGAACATAATATCCTACTAGTATTATAAACACCAAAGTATGTGACTTTGTTACTCTTCCACGTAAAAAATACTGGACCTATCTTGATGAAATTTGTACACTGTGTGTATTTTGGTCCAACTTAGAACATAGGCTAATTTAAAAAGGGAGAGGATCAACCCTAGGAGGTGCTCAAACGGGAATTTTGAAATTTCAGATGGAAATTTTTGTTTATAAATGGTTGCCATGGGTTTTTATAAGCTATTATAATAATAATAATAAAAAAAAAACTTTGCTTTACTTTTTTTTTATTTTTTATAATTTTTATTTACAATCTGTTACAATAAAATGAACAATAAGTAAAATAGATAATTGAATGAATAAGTGGCTTGAGGAAAGGATGGATTTAAGAAGCCTTCCAGTGAAGACACTTTGTCAGCTGTTTATATACATTTCAATAAGTTAACAATAAGTTATAAATAGAAATAAAGATTAGATAATTAACTAAATTAATAGGTCCCGACACCACCGCCTTTTTAGTCTTTTCCTAGGATTGTCGGGTATGTTTGCTGACGCAAGTCCTTTAATTAGGGGATTATCATGGTTTTTAACAGATAAGTTAAATCGTCTATAAAAAGTTCTAGCTACATCACAGACGGGTGAGATGGCAAGATCGTTATGTAAGGTCTGGTTGGACACGTAAAAAGGTGCTTTAGTTATGGCTCGGAGCGTTTTGGATTGGAAGCGTTGGATACGGTTAGTGTTTGAAATTTTTGCAGAGCCCCATAATTGAATTCCGTACTCTTTTTAAATATAAATTATATTTAATGGGATTAAATAAATTGATTATTTGAATCAACCGTAGGTGGAATTAAGTAAAAACGACAAACTTAGTATAACTTTGATACTTTAGAGTTAAATCATACACTTAAGTACAAACAGCACGGGGTCCGCGGTCTACTTCAGGTAGATTGCCTACCTTTTAATTGAACAGGATGTATAAAAGCTTGAATACAGAAAATACTATTCAATCTAAAATTAAATATATGAGATCAGGCGATAATGCAGTTGGGTTTCCAACATTGGCAAAATTATATAAGCTTTTTCTAACTATTTCATCAAATTCAGCATCATGTGAAAGAAGCTTCTCTTGCCATCGTCGTTTAAAAAACTACTTGAGAAGTACTATGGGACAATTCAGATTAAATCACCTAGGAGTTTTGCAAATAGAACGTGAAAGATCGTCAACTATTAATTACGAAGAAATCATAAAACAATTTGACTCATCCACAGTACCACGTTGATTGAAGCTAACTTATAGCTAACTAAAGCCAACTAATAAACATTTAAAATTTATTAGTTTAGGTATAAGAAGAATTAAAATATATACCTACTTATAACGTATTTTATATTAATAGTGAATATAATATAATTATATGATTATGTATGTTAAAATATTGATTATTTTATAATGTTGGGGGTGTGTGGGCAAAGCCCCCACGGGTTAGTGCATCCTAAGTAATTTTTGCAACCCCTGATGTTTTGCCCAAATTACGCCACTGTGTTAATGTACTGCAGCGAATCAGAATTTTTAATCCGGGCAACGGAAAAGTTAAGATAAATGTTGAGCACCTTACACAGTGCACACCTTGCACCTTACCTTACCAAATAACGAATTGAACAAAGTTTGAGTCATATGAGTTAATACATTTAACAGGATCAGTTAGTATTATTATAAATTATAATATATATTTATATACGTATTTTTAAGTGCAAGCTATTATTGTTTATTCTCCTTATTATTCCAAACAGATATAGAGACTCAGCATTTGGATATGATATAGCCATATAGGTAGGACACATTTATAAATATTTGTGGTACTTTTCGGTTATCCCTACTACTGTGAGTCTCAATTCTGTTATCTCGACCACCTCGCCGACGCCGATTTAGATAAAATCGTTAATAAATCATAAGCATGGACATAATTAATATAAAAATACTTAAATACCTCACCGATAGAGTCCATACTTTAATCGTACATACCCGACCTTTTTTATCATAATTACTTTTTATGAGAGTTTGAAATTTGAATATATAATTTTTACAATATTGTATTTTATTTAGTAGGTAGTAATTTATCAAATTTAACAAGCCCTTAAACCACTAAGCACTAAGCCACCCCCCACCTCCTACAAAAGTTATGGGGTATTTACCCCTGTAGCCATACGTGTTCAGCACCTCTTGCTAGGCATTATACGCGCATAGTCTATAACGCACCGTCTCCGCTCAGATTCGTTTTTCGTATCCAATGATTTATCATTGAATTCAAATATAACATATCCAGCATCCGCATTACAATGACATACTCTACAACTACTGTACACCAGAGCGGTACCCACTAAACTTGTCCACCTTTTATTTTTATAAGTATATATATTTAATATCTTGATGATTTTATGAGAATTTTTAATTTGACGTTTTGTGATAATTTTGATGATTTGATGTTATATATTATTATGATGATAACTTTCCACTACTGTGATAATTTATGTGATAACTGATCATAATTAATACATATACTAATATTATACATATTATATATTTTTTTTTTTTTTGAATTCACAATTCACATTATTATAAAAGGCAATTCATGTGTATCATGTATTAAGAATACGGAACTATCGGGATACCAAGTACTATAGTAGTCGAGTTAATATAATTGAGTAGTCGTGGTAGTCGCGGCATCGAGCGGTAGTAGGGATAACAGAAAAGTACAATATTTGTATGTGACTGCATTTTTACAATTATAATATAAATTATAATTAAGTTTTTAAAAATTAAATTAATATTTACGTTGGTCGTTGAATTAAATAATATGTAAAAATAACAAAATTGTATGACAATGTTAATTCATAAGTTGAAAACTCATAAGAAAAAAGACACAATCTTAAACTTATGACTTATGTATAATATTGTATAAAGAACTCGGATCTTAAACTCAATAATTAGTCCGCATAATCATTTGCACCACAATAAATTGAGAATTATTGAATAGATAGCAGTACCATAAAACGATAAACTTCTAAGTTCTAATAGCTACAAATTCAAAAGTGTGATCAACATTAGAATTTACTAATGTCACATAAATTTGTTTCATAAAAAACTACATAGGAATAATTAATAAATATAAATATTTAAAAATATCCTGAGCTCTAAATTAGAATTATGCCAATAAGTTTGATAATTAATTGATTCTGATACGATCAGTGGCGGATCCAGGGGGGGGGCCTAGGGGCCTAGGCCCCCCTAGACCGACCTCTTTCAACAGTCTCTTTTTACTTACTCAAATCACAAATATTTTAAATTGTGTAACACATTACATTTTTATTTATAATTAATTACACATATCTAGTTTGGAAACCATTGGGAATGTTAGTGGGATGAAAACAGATCAAATTGCTATTTTTAGAACCTATTTCGTTCATTCGTTGGTTTTTCTTGTTTATATATTCTATGTAACGCGTATCAGTTATCAGTTGTGTTCGAGATTAGACTAAAAACACGATATTATTTTTGTGTCGACCGTGTCACTGTTACACGCTTATGTCTTCTAAATGTACATAGAGATTTTAATATGTATGATAAAAAAGAAATCATTATAAATAATTTTGCCTCTAAAAATAAATGTAGATTAGATTTTGTGTTATAAAAATTATTTAAAAATTTTTTTACCGAGGACCTCGGATACTATATGGCTTTGAAGTAAATTTGTTAGGAGGCCCCTCCCCAAATCCAATCCTGGATCCGCCACTGGATACGATGGTATTTGTATTTTAAATTATGGAATTTTATGTTATAGTTATTATATAGCTTAATATATACCAGATGTAGTTTATTTGATTATAAGTCTCAGTAGAAGGAATTAGCTATTGAGGGAATAATTAATTTGTGTCGCATTACAAATAAATTTTTAATTAAAAGCTACCTACTCAATATGTACATTAAATATCAATATTCTTACACGTAGAATGTGCTTTAGAATTAACTGTTTTTAATAAACTTCTGAGGGTTGAGCCAGGTCCACACTCGAAGGTATCGGGGAAATTTGACCCCACTGGACGTTCATACAGTATGTGTAATGTCTGTTCCCACTTCACAGGTTTGTATATTTGTTTGGGTAAATTTCTAAACACTTGAGCGCTGTTCTGATAACGTTTTCCATCAATATTGGAGTGGACAGCTATCAGAGGTTCTGCTATTTTTATATTATGAAGTGCAGCTGCAAATGGTTCAACAGCAGGGCGCATGAGGTCTGTATGAAACGCACCAGAAACATTTAACCTCTGCATCTTTCTAAGATTATATTGTTTTAGATTGGATTCTAAATACTTTAATGCCTAAAAAAAATGATAAAAAAATCAAACAATATTGTTTATACATTATGTTACAAATATATTTGGTCACAATATTATAAGATTATAATGTATGTGAATTGTGGAAAAAAATCCTCAGTATAAAAACTAATCAGTTTTAATATTATGTATATATAGCCTAAGTAATAGTTAATAATAATTTAAATTATCAATAACATATTAATAAAGCTTAAAACTTATAAGAAACAACATATTATAGGCATATTCACTAGAATAAAGAAAAAAAACTCTTTTAAAATACAGTGAAACATCTAGTGATGCACAACGATATCGTACTTCAATATAGGATAAATTTTACCGATATCGATAAGACTAAACCAGGGGTCATATTTTTTTTTGTAATGATCATCAAGGGCCAAATTAAAAAAAATTTTTTACTTATTATATATATAATACTAATAGTTGTATTGCTATTATATTTGATTATTTTAAATAGAAATATAAGTGTAAAAAAATACAAATGTTACTGGAAAAATTGCTTTTAAGAAAGGCCACATAAAAAAAAAAATTTACATATTATGATATAATATTAATAATTGTATTTCTATTATATTTGATTATTTTACATAGAAATATGAGTGTAATAAAATACAAATGTTACTAGAATTGACTGATTCCACGGAATGTAGATATTGGAAGACAACTATACAATTGAGGCAAACTAGTTGCTTCTCGAAAAGAATTTTTTAGAACCTCGTAATTTTTAGGAAAAATTTTATTGAAAAAAAATAAAAAACAAAAATTAACCACCTTTGTGCGGGCCATCAAAAATTGCTTAGCGGGTTGCCGACCCCTGGACTAAACTATGTAAATTATTATATTATATATTATAGTATATTGATATTGTTTATATTTCGATATTGCAGTATGATATTGATATAAATGAACCGATATCGTTAATTGAAAATATATTGTTGTCCATCACTAGAAACTTCCATTCGACAAAATAGTATTGAGAACCATAACTAAGTTAGAACCGAATGTTTTTAATTCTATCTAACAAATTTCTTTATAATATAATTTTTATGCTAATAAATAAAGACTAAAGAGCAATTATTTTTTGTTGTTACAATAGATACAGCAACTTTACAGCAATGTCTTTAGGTTTTTTTTATTATAACCATTTTTAACAATACGTCAATACACTAATAAGTAAACCAATACCGAACCACAAAAGACTATATATTATTATATAAAAGTTTCTATAATATGATTGCTATTATAATTTTGTTACAATAAATAATGTTTAAATAAAGTAGAGCCAGTAGGTACAAGTTTATTATCTCAAATAAATATTATTATTGGATATTCATTTAGTACGTAACCCTACCTATATTAACTGGTTTATTATGTAAAAAACGAGAAGGTAAATGTTTCAATCCCCCCTCACAAACATGACCAAATTACACCACTGGGTGACCTACCAAGATGATGATCTATATTAGGGATGGCCAACCCGCGGCTCGTCTTGGAAAGTTTTGTGGCCAGCGACATTTATCAAATATTTACAAAAAAAAGTTATAATTCTAATCTAATCTGATTAAAATATAAACGAGTAGACACTATTCTGCGATAATTTACTAGCGATTCTGGCACTTAACACTTAATGAAATTAGCTAAGCACCAATTAGTGCAGAATATTATGTGAGCGATTTATAGTAGGTATTTATAATCAATGGTCTTACTAACTAACTAATGATAATAAAATAATACAATTTTATGATTTTTAATGCGACTATTAATTACCAGTTTGGTAGGTTATACCCAATTGTTGAATTGTGTAACAACCTAGGAAAAATACTCCTAATTTTATATATAATACTTATTATAGTAACCTATATAATTTATAAATTTATTGTTAAAATAGTAATGATCATTTAAGAGAATTCGATACCGTGATTTTCTGTTTTTGTCTAACACACGCGCAATATAGGATTTTAGACGGGGAATTTTCCAAACATACCAATTTTATTGATCTAATGAAGCGATAAGAATTCTGAAAATAGATTTGAATTTGTCGTCAAGTCTACGTGAAATCGACTTTCCCAAAATTTTATTTTTAGATTTTAATATTTTCCAAAAATTGAAATAAGACAATTTTTAAATACTCTTTTTTAATATGACGTTTTTAAGAGTTTGAGGGTTAATATCAAACATTTGGGAAAGTCGATTTAGGGTAGACTTGACGACAAATTCATATCTGTTTTCAGAATTCTTATCGCTTGATTAGATAAATCTGTATATTTGGCAAAAAACACGTCTACAATACTGTCACGAGTGTGTTAGACAAAGACAGAAAATCACCGGGTGGAAGAAGTAAAAAATTAAAAATATTAATTATTTTTTATACTAAGGATTTTTTTTACAAAAACCAATTTAAATACTCCTTACTTCTAAATGCCCAGCAACTACTTTACAATCAGGATTCAAATAGTTTGATATAGAACAAACAGGTTTTTCGATTCCTTTATCCAGACACCAATCTCTGGCCATTTTCATAGCATAATTTAATTTAGAATCAGGTCTTATGTAAATGTTTGCCATTCCACCAGGTTCAATTTCTGACGCATAATGCATTGCTTCTGCGCGTATTTTAACTAAGCTAACAGCTGAAAAAAATCAAAGAATTTTATAGGTAGAAAAATTATAACTATGACAATAATAGATATTTATTACCTTGTTCGAATGAAAAACACCCAGCAAATGTAAGAGCAGCAAATTCTCCAACACTGTAACCAGCAGCAGCCATACAATTTTCAATGGCACTAGGTTGTTCTTCTTTTAGTTTCTCAATGGCACCCAAGGAACACACAAGAATGGCTGGTTGACTATAGATGGTCTGATCCAGTTTAGATTTTGGTCCTTCCAAACAAAGTTTCAACAGATTATACTTCAGTATTTCACTTGCCGCATTGAACATCTCTACAACTTGAGGAAACACTAACAGATTTTTTCCCATGCCAACAAACTGGGTACCTTGACCGGGAAACATCAGTATTGACGTTTCCTTGGGGTCCACTTTTGGTCGTAGAGCGTGCTGCGCTTGAGACTGGTTTTTGTGGGGTACATATGAACCTGGTTGTAAACAACGAATAAATTAAAACAAATACTGTTTTGAATATGCAATTTAAACCTTTTGGGTATGGGGATGTAGTCCAGTTCTCAGTGTCTCCAATAACTGATGACTCTTCTGGAACTGTCCCATCTTCCAACAATTTTTTTACGTCTGTTTCATTCATGTTTTTTGAATTGTCGATGATTGACATGTGCCTAATTTGTGTACTGTGATTTGAATAATTCGATTTTGACGAAGCACTGAATAAGGTACTTATAAAACGTTTAGAGGACATTTTTCGAAAACAGCAGTACCACTGCTGATACTTTGTAATGGACACCATACTGTTCTTAAAAATATGTTATCCAAACGGAACCAAAAGTTAAAAAATAAAACGGAATAAGAATAAAAAACATTCGAACACACAAACAAGTTAAACCAATTAAGTTGTAGAAATTAATATATAAATTATCAAAAAATATAAATGCTCGAGTGATCTACTATTGTCTAATGTAGTAATGTCTATTTGTCTATTCTACTGAGAACTGACCACCATAGAAAAATAGAAAAGAGATTAAACTGACCACTGACCACAGAATAAACATTAATATAATAAAAATGTAAATAATAATCTAAGACCGTGTGTAAAATATTATAATTCTGTGATACAACTGATTTAGTGATATCACAGAATAAATATTAAATATTCAGTGGTGGTATCACAACATTTTGTTGCATATGAGCATAGATAATAAAGAAGCGAGCACGATGCAAGGTTTTTGACTTTCGGCGAAGTATAGATAATATTATTATCTTTATCTATTATAATTTATAAAATGAGGAGTGACGACTATAACAATATTAGTGACGATCAGTGACGACCCTTTAAAAAAGTACAAAGTGCCGGTGATACTGACGAGTGTGTAGTTTAATATAAAAAATAAAAACCTTTTAAGAGTAATTGAGTAGAGTACTAGAGTATACGAATTATGTAATACATATGTACATGTGGACATGTAATATTGTAGTGGATTTACGTGTTAACTGTTGGGTTTGCCACCTCGACAATTGAGATGATCTTATTTGTATCATACCTTTAGTCAACTATTTTAACAATATGTTTATTATTCAACACCGATATTGAGTGATTCGAGCCATGGACAGTGTCGTTTTTGGATCAATAACCCCTATAAAGATCATGATCAGAACAAAGCCTGTTGTGTACATTGCTGGGCCATCGTGAAGTGTTACATTATATTATTATATTATATTCATAAAATAAGATTCTAATCATGAAGTGTTTAGCTCTGAAGTTATTCCAAACCAATGAGGTAATGTACAAATATTATTCGGTGATCTTTATATTTTTGTTTGGAGCACTATCTAGTATATTTCTTAATAAATACTGGAACTACACACCGTACGTTTACGACCAAACCAGACATCTGATTGTACGTCGCCCGTTTTCAATTATTGATTACGATGATCATGAATATGTTGATTCCAATCAAAATGCTCATGAACTAATCATCAGAGAAACAGATGTGGATGTTGTGTGTAAGTTGAAACAATGATTCAATCTGTTTTCATGTATATTTATTATTTTCATATAATTTACATTGTATAGCTGATCAAGATAATTTGGAAGCGTTGATGTCACTGGTTGCTGCCAATGAGATGAAATCGATGGGTAAAGGTGAAAAAGCATTGAAACTTATAGAACATGGTATTGCACTTGCTCCAAAAAATCCTGACTTATTAAATGGCTATGGTGAACTTATTGAAACGCTTCGAGACGACATTTTAACAGCTGATCGGATGTATTATCAGGTTTGTTAATAAAAATTAAAAATAATCTTAGACTTTTTAATTTATTTAAAGTATTTACTATTTTCAACAGGCACTTATACATAGTCCAAAACATAAAGAGGCATTGCTCAATCGTAAGAGAACTCAAATTATTGTTGATGATTTAGATTGGCAACAGCTCAAACGTATTGATGAAAAAAGAGATAAAATGGCTTTAATATCAGATTCTAATATGGCTCTTAGAAGAGCAAAAAAAGAAGCGTATTTTCAGGTACCTAACCAACATTTTTTTGTCAAGTTTGTTCAATTTTTCAATATAAAATAATATATTGTTTGTACACAGGGTATTCTTTTAAATATGCCCAACCTATGCCCATGTTTAAATTATGCATAATATATTGAAATTCTAATTTTTTAAATTTTGAAATACCTATAGTTAAAAACAATACTTTTGAATGCTTAGATTGTCCCCAAAATTTAAGGAGTATCCTGTAGTAATACCAACCTTGGTTTTCAAATGAGAATCTATATGTTTTAATGCAAATTGTGAATCATGATTTTTCTGAATATTTTGACATGTTGTACCTAATCGAAATGTAAATAGAAAAGTTTCTGACTAAATACTAAGGATAATAGTCTACTATAAGGATATTCTTTACTTTTGTTTTGGTTTAAAAATTATTGGGTGAAATATTAATCCATTACCATTGTGCAATATGTATTATTAAAAAAATTGTCCGAATAACTTGATAAACTTTTGGGTACTTTCCTGTTATACGAGACTACAGCTGATATTGTGACTACCACCCAAGACTACCTCCGTTATCTCGACTACCACGCTTATTTTGTGAAACATCATAGTCTAAGACTACCAAAATGGTACTTTCCTGTTAAATAAGACTGGCTTATTTTTCTTGCCATCTTTGATATATTTTTTAATAATATGTATTGTAGGGATGGCCAGAATGAAATACAGAAAAAGTTACATGTTAATTATGCATGTATTTTACACGGTACACGCCAAAGTGCCAAATTTGCCGTGGCGTACGGACAACAATAAAATAATAATAATACAAAATTGTAAATCCACAAATAAAATAACAAATAATTGATGTATTGTGGGGATGGCCACATTCGAATTATATAAAAAAAAAAATTAAATAAAGATAAAAATTAAAAACATAATAATTATTCGTAATGTACCAAATTTGCCGTGGCAAACACCAATTACAAAAACTAATAATATACGTAATGATAGATATATAGATAACAAATTTAATCGCAGCTTATGGATACCGTTCAGCTAAGATAGGTAGTCGCGATAACAAAGGTAGTCTTGGGTGGTAGTCGCGATAATAGCCATAGTCTTGTATAACAGGAAAGTATAATTTTGGTAGTCTTAGATAACAGGAAAGTACCAAATTTTGTAATTAAAATAATGTAATATAGTTATCCCTTAAAAAAAATGTATATAGTATGTTACCTCCATAAATGTCACCTGAATCCCAGTTACTACTAAAATAAAATATCTAGGCTTACTTCTTGACAGTCTCACTTGGGGACCACACTTACTTGCCAAACGTAAAACACTCAATTCAGCTATTCAGACCTCTACTCCGCTCTAAACTACCATTAAAAATAAATGGACGATCTACACTGCTCTCCTGAGACCAGTATGGCTCTACGGTATTAAACAATGGGGCTCAGCTAAACTGTCTAATACAAGCATTCCAGTCGATATGTCTACGGTTAATTTCAGAAGCTCCTTTGTATATTACCAACAACTCTCTGCATAAAGAACTTTGTGTTCCAACATTAAATACACTTGCTTCTCTCACCTACAACAAAACCCACAAAACATTCCATGCTCACACCAATCCACTAATCAATAGCCTTGCTTCCACTCAAATTCCTAACAATCCACCCATACGCCTGAAAAGAAACTGGTGTAGGGATCTATTTTTTATTAACAATTAAAATCACACCCAGAGTGCTGCCAATGGGCGTCTTCCCCTTTCCCGTCCTTCTACTTATTCTTATATTTATTTTATCTAATTTGCTTATTGTATTACATAAATATAGATTGTAAATACAATTTATTTTAAAATAGTAATAAAAAGAAAAATAAGAAGCAGGTAATTTTATATTTTAGAACACAATACTATAAAAAATTATTCATGTTTTTAGTGTAATTGCATATATTTTTCTAGTAAACTGGAATCATCCATTAACATATATATATATTTTTTTTAGCACATTTACCATACTGTTGGTATTGAAGGAAATAGAATGTCTTTATTGGAAACTAGATCTATTTTAGAAACTAGAATGGCCATTGGTGGTAGAAGTATTGCCGAACACAATGAGATAATAGGTTTAGAAGCAGCTCTTAAGTATATAAATGCAACTTTAATCCATCGACTTGGTAGTATATCTGTTGATGATATTTTGGAAATTCATAAACGAGTAATGGGATTTGTTGATCCTTTAGAAAGTGGAGTTTTTCGTCAAACACAAGTATGTATAACAGGTAGTATGAATTATATCTATGAATACATTTTTTAAATTATTTATTTTTTGTTGATATTTGTTTCCTTAGGTATTTGTTGGTGGTCATGTTCCTCCAGGTCCATCCCATATTGGAACATTAATGGAAAATTTTTCTTTATGGCTCAATTCTGAATCTACTCTCAGACTACATCCTGTAAGATTTGCAGCTCTAGCACATTACAAATTAGTACATATACATCCATTTACTGATGGAAATGGACGAACTTCGCGTCTGCTCATGAATATGATTTTAATGCAAGCTGGCTATCCTCCAGTTATTATACCAAAAGGAGAAAGACATAAGTAAATTTAATATTTTATTATTCATGTTTAAAAATTATCTTGTTTCAATACATTTTTTTAAATGAGTTTTAAATTAATTCTTCTAATAGGTATTATAGAACTTTGGAATTTGCGAATAAAGGAGATATTAGACCATTTTTGAGGTTCATTGCTGAATGTACTGAAAGAACATTAAATCAATTTTTGTTGTCTACTACAACAGAATTTTCAACTAACATTCCAGAATTAGACTATGATAATATTATTATAAATGAATCATAATAATGTCCCAAATTTGAAAATGTATCAGCCAAAAAGTGTGCTTGTAGAAGTTTAATACAAAATCAATGGTTTTAGTCTTGTCTAATAATTAATATGTACAATTTGTGTACTGCTGTGAGTATTAATTATTTAATTTAAAAGTTTCTATAAATATTTTATTTTAATTTTGGTTTTTTTGATTATCATAATATTTTAACTTTTGTTTGTTGAATAAAATTTTATATTTTATGTATATTAATTTAAACATATACCTACTATATAATTTGTAGTAATAACTGGTAATACATTTAACTACAATTAATAACAAAAAACAAGACAAGTAAAAATATAAGCGATTTTAAAATGATTCATACCCACCTATACTCTGTTTCAAAAGAGAAAAATCACTTTTTGGCATCATGAATGATTTGACTAGCATATCAAGAACCAAGTGATCACGCCAACCAGTGGTAAATTTTCCACATTTTTCAAATCAATTATGATTATTTTACAATGTAACACAACTTAAATGTATGTCGGTAAATTCAATCATTTACAACTTTGTTAACTCTAATTTTGTTATTATTTTATCATTTTTATTAGTTGAAAATGTAAAATAATGGGTTAATTAATCATGTGTTTTAAATAACAACAAATAACCATCACATTGTTTATCTTGTAGTGTTCTCATACAAATCAATGTGCCACACCATTTTTTTTTTAGTTTTCGAGCTTGAAAAACATTGAGAATTTTGCAAAAGATACAACTAGACCATTTATTTTTGCATTTAAGATAATGTTCTAATAATAATTTGTATAAACACAGATTTTGAAGATAGAAAAAAAATTTCAAAAAAATCTTCCTTGGGCCATCACATTGAGTACACATATACTAGTTACCTCATCCATTTCAGAAACAGTCTGAAACACCCTGTATAAATATCCTTATTTTAATATATTATACTTATGTATATAATATAACATAAATATTTATTGTTTCTGGAGAGGTCCAGTACCCCTGGACCCCCCTTCCAACGTAAATCCGCCACTGACTTTAACACCTGTTAGTTTTTGGAAAATGCACAGCACTGAAAAATATTGGTCAACTGACTGATTATTCTTTCGAAACAGGGTATAGGTATAGGTATCTATTATATAACATTGTATGTACACTAAGTTTTATAGTAAATTTACTGTGCATTTTATGATACAAATTTTTGATCTGAATACAACATTATATAAAATAGTCTTTAATGACTTGGTAATTAGTGTTAAACCCAGAATTTTAAATGTATAACTCTTATTAATCAATTAATTATATCTTTTAAGAAAATAAAATTATATAAATAAATATTGTTTTTATGAGTTGTTACTGGAGTTATAGTTTTAATGTATAAACTATGATTTTTTGATAAACTAATTCTATATTTATAAACTTAATGATATGTACATTAGATTATTATTTATTATATAACATTCTTTCCATGCATTTTAGAATATATGATAAATATTTATTTTAGGTATAAACATTTTTTAATTTAAACTAATATTACTCAAAGCCTCAAAAGTATAGTACTTTTAATTACATGTCTGAAAATTAATTGAGATTTGTTTTTAATCAAAACCTTTCTATACTATTAATTATAGTTATGACATACTTATTAGTATACAACATTTTTAACTAATAGATAACATTTATTCTTATGATTATACTGCCTGTGATACATTTTTCATGTTAACCGTTACCTATTTGATTTATAATTTCATAATATGTAATATATTATTTAATATTTATTGTTGATTAGTTTTAAGTTATATTTGTATCCATGTTGAAATATGTAAACTATTAAATTAAAAAAAATAGCATTGATATTTGTTTGTTTATTCTATGGTATTAATGTCTAAAGAAATAATAATATACTTTTTAAGGTGGATATATATCCATCTTGATACTTTTGGAGCGATACACATTACAGGTGGTTTAAGCTCAAATTTACAAAACCTCGGGGGCTAGAGAATTGTCTGCATGCTTCCATTCGGCCTTCATACAAAAATCACATTTAAAAAATTGTTCTTTTAAAACTCCAGTTCGTCATTTCAAAGCGAGTAATTTTGTAATAAATAATATCTATAATAATAGTATTATAATATTATATTCAATAATCAATGTACTCGTAGACCTATAAATTATGAATGTACGTATGTGGACATGTGGTTATGTCAATCAATATGTTCAAAAAATTAATTCGTAATTAAATATTACATTTATGTACATTGTATTTCACAGCCGATAGTTTATTGTTTATAGGTCTATGGTGTATACTGTTACGATTATAAATGTATAATAATATAATATAATGCTAAGTAAATTGTAAATATTATTATACATTCATCGATTTATAACGTTATAATTTTTAGTCTCCCGATACAGACACAAAAAAAAACCCATGTAGGTACAAAAATTACATACGAATATACAATTTCAAATTGTATTACCTATTGGCGATTAGATTAGCATTAGTTATCAGAGTGTAAAAGCCTAAAAACCACGAACTAAGATAGTTCGTGCTAAAAACCATACAATTTTACAATATTACCTATGCTGAATTTTTAAAATATAAGTTGCTTTTATTCATTAAAATTAAACTGATTACAAAATTATTATGCCTCCTTATCAGAATTTTATTGACTTTTATAAATAAATAACTCTACAAAAAAGCTGTTTTAGAATGTTAATCTCTTTTCTATGGTTTTAGATCATTATAAAAAGGCTACTAGTGATATTGTGGTAATATTATATTACAATGCCATCTCTGTAATAATCAGATTAAAAAAAAATTGCACTGATTTCAAATTAGAGCTACTGACTTACGACTCTCCAATTAATAATTATTGACTATTGTCCACGGACTAAGGGTATATCTTAAGTCCGTGCTATTGTCTTATTAGTTATCACTATGAGAACTTCAAAATTCAAATTGAAAAGTGATAGTGGTGAATGTTGTGGTTGTGGCTTTGATGACGTGCTTTGATTATATTATTATCACAGAATAAAATATTATTATTATTTATTTATTATCATAATAAAATTTTAGTATTCTACTTAGAATCTACTATTTCTACTATTGTTAGATCTGTGCTATATGTAGGTATTTAGTAATTTATACTTTACTAAAATATAGGTATCTAGGCATTTTTTTAACTACCTATTTTATATATTTTAAATTTTTTCACAATTCACGTAAACAAAATATGGCAATATTACATTTTGTTAATCGTGATCATAAGTCGTTTTAATGTATTGAATGGTTGGCTTCGATCTTTGTAGTCGGTGCTTTTTGGTGATCCTGTTATTGTTTTTTCTGTCATCAAAACAATTGAATAATAATAGTTGTCATGCTTAGACCTTTTTTCTGCTCTAGTACCGACTCTTGTTAAACTTAACTTCTATTAGGTATCATAGTACAACACAAAATGGTCAAGATTCCTGTTTTGGTGGGCGTGTTATCGTTGATCACCATGTTGAAGGTAAGCTTTTTACCTGTCGATTTTTGACATAATTGACATACTGTAATGTCCATTTCTCTTACAATTAGTTAGGTATAAGTAAATACTGTATAAAAAATATTTATTACGATTGGGTCTATAAGAGCGTTAAAATTCAAAATATCAAATATGGGAATTAATATGTATTTATTTTTAATTACCTATTCACCTAGCCATACAAAAATTACATATTTTAATACTGCCAATTAATCTGATAAGTATGTTTATGATGGCTTTTTTTATTTGAATTTAATCTATTTATCTTGTTAATTAAATAAATTTTCTGTCGAGCATTAAATAAAGCATGACTTCAAGAGTGGGTTTAACAAAGGAAACGGTACCCCATAGGCCTGAAATCCTTACTATTGTTTTTAACCAAAATATTAAGTATACAATAATAATAAATACTTATATAAAAAATAATTATAAATAACATTTCCTACTAAATGAGTAAAATGCTGTTTTAATTTCTTCTTTATGTATTCATACATGTTAGAACTGCTAAGAAAAAGAAAATTTTTTGGAAAACATAATTTTTTCTAATTTAACACATGTATTTTTCAGGCTGAGTCATATGAAGATGCCCGTTGCAAATGTGTATGTACTATAGTGAATGGACAGAAATTTATAATAAATTATATATAGCTAATGTTCTTCCCAGCAAGTGAGTTAAAATAATGTTCATCGTAGACATAAATATATTTATGCATAAAAGTTATGACATTAATAATTAATAATAACCATCTAATTGCTTTTCAGTGATTGTAACGGAGTAAGCTTACCAATTATTGGTGAAGTGAATAATACAAAAAAAGAATTATGCCACGATGCACTTGTACTTATGAGAGTAGAAACACACACTATGAAAGTAACGAGTTTGTCTAACATAAGTTGAATAATATGTTACTAATTCTTCATTTCTTACATATTATATTATTTAGGTGGTTGTATTAATCGTGCTGTGCGTGATATCATGTTTGGTGATGTACATGTTTTTCCTGCTATGTCTGGAGCCAATGATTAGAAGACGCAAGCTAGTAGGAGCATACGTAGAGCACACCAACGAAGAGGTATGTTCTTTATTGGAGGCGACCATATCCGATAGCGGTAGTTTTGTAAGTCCAACCATTCTCTCCCAATTGTTTCTTACAAAATATATAATAACAGCAGTTCTTTCCTAACGTTCCGTGATATACAAAAGTATTTCAAAATAAATTGGAAAAATTACAAAAATTCATCGAAAGATATGGTTTATACAGTAAATTTAGTGTTTTAGTTGGACATACTATTTGAGTTTTGTATTGTTGTGCTTGTTTGGTTTTTTCATGTCATTAGAATGATATACATATTTTGTTATCACTACATCCAGAATGCCTTGCTTTTTAAATAATAAATCAATTATAAGGTGTTTTTAACTTGATCATCATGATCTGTGTGCTTGATGTTGTTACTTAATATGTTCATTTCTGGATACAATATATGTGTCTATTGCACTATGTGGGTCCCTTAATGTCTGTTACAAAAATATAATAAACAAATATTGTGTGACAAATTCTAAGTTTAAAATTATGAATTTTTTATTTTAGAAGTTTTAAATAATTTAATGCATGTGTTTGTAGTGATTTTTTTTTAAAAATTATTAAGTACTTATTTTTTTAAATTTATTTATATTGAATAATAATTAAAAAGTATATTAACAAACATATTTTTACCCCACTACTTTTGAATATAGGACGAAGCTCCACCTGCTGTATCGTTAAACGCAAGGAGAGGAAGCGATCCAATGGTATCTACAGCCAACAGCAGTAATGTCCTCAACCGATTTGGACATCAACAAGATAAATGGAAGAAACAGGTGAAGGAACAAAGAAAAAATATCTATGATCGTCATACTATTCTCAATTAAATGTGTTAACTTTCTTATTACTATTATTTTTACATAAAAAGTTATCATTTACCTTATTTATCTCTTTCCTCCATTTGTCATCAGTAATATTTGACATCAATATATTTCTGTTTTATATAATATAATTGATTCTTTGATCATCTTTATTATATTATTTTGTTTATTTAAGAAAAAGTAGTTTTTTTGAAAATATATTATAATTTTAATTATTTGTCATGTTTTTGTCTTTTTTTTTACCAGTCGTTATATCAATAATAATATATTAGGCTTATTTGTACAAATACTGTACTAACTCCCATCATGTTTTCATTGATATTTATATCTTAAATACAATATTTAATATGTGTACAGTAAAAATAATAAATCCTACTATAAAAAATACAATTTATTGAATTACATTTTAGATTCTGAGCGGAGTGATGGATGTATTGATTTAACAATGATGTATAATTTATTAATTTTTATTATTTTTGTGTCCATCATCACATTTTGGAGCAGTAAAAATACTTAAATGTTTCACTTTAATGTATTTTGTAATAGGAAAATGTTTCTAGTTAATACTTATAGGGGACATAACTCAAAAATAAATAAATTTGAGTACCTATTGATATGTTTTTTATATAATTGGTTTTAATTTTTTGTTTAATTAAAAAATGAATAATTGCGAAGACTTCAAATTATTATCATGTACCAAATATTCATTTAAGCATTTTGCATATATTATGGTAAAATTATTATTTTCAATAATTGTTGATAAAAATGTATTTGTTTTAAACATGATTTAAGGTATAATTATATAGATTAAAACATACTATAGTTATGGCCATCTATGCCTTACTGATACTTAAGATGCTAAAAAAAATAAAGAATAAAGCATGATCATATAGAATCAGCTGTCTTCCAGACGTGTTAATGATGTTTTTTTTTTATGAATATATACTCTATTCAAAATAAGACAGTTACCGGGCGGCCAAGTTGTGCGCATGGGCGTGGCTTTGTTTTGTGGCAGAGGCCGACGCACCACCGTGGTGGGGACGGCGTTTCACCAAATGTCTGACCGCCACCGGACGAAAACTGGTCGCCGCCTGGTCACGGTCTTATTTTGAATAGAGTATAGGTATTTGTAAAAACATTCCATATATTTACTAATAATAATAAAAGAAATTTACTATGTAACCAATGGCAACCATTTAAATAAACAAAAAATATTCTTTTTAGGTGAGCTGAATTGTTTCATGTGTGAACTATGGACTATGGTCTATGTCATAACCGACTATGATCTACCTACTCTTTAGCTGGTTGAAAAAAAAGATGTAAACACCCTCTGTCTCAAGGAATCTATAGTATTAATATAACTTTATTGAAAACGGTTTTTTGAACTTCTGATATACCAATATCTATTTTTAGCTACATTATTAAATGTAAATTTATGTAATTGACATAACACAAAAATTATATTTGGGTTTAGATTTAAAGTTAAGATGATCTAAATAGTGGACCAATAATTTGTGGGGTAACTGCTGTACCATTTCGCTTATCTAAACTTTAAATACATATAACTCATAAACTAGTAAACTACTGTTCCTAAATATAATTTTTATGTAGGTATCAAAATACTCAGAAAAATATGTTTTCAAAGATTAAACTTAAACTGTTTGTTGTCAATCAAACAAGTAAACACTTAAAATATTATTGGGATAAAAAATTTAAAAAAAAAATAAATATTTTCATAAGCATTAATATTTTTGGAAATAATGAGTACCTAGTCTATGATAAAAGAATCATCATGTGTATATAATTATTTCTACCTCCTGGTAACATGTATATACAAATTCAGTGAATGTGCATTAATAATAAAAAAAATGAATAATTTTTAAAATATTTTTCCATGATACACGTTTTTATTAGCAAAAAAAAAGTAATCCCTACATAAATGTAATAATTATTTTAAAATAATGATAAGATAAAATTGTAATTTATATAAGATTTTGAGGTTTATTCATATCCTTGTACCAACTTGGCAACTTCCCATCTCGGCTTCAATGCAAGATTCTGTGTTTCAACAGAGTCTTTAGTAACAATACCAATTTGATATTTGTCGTGGCTCCTTGCATCTCTGTAACATACATCATAATACTTAATTGTGAATTTAAAACAAGTTAGATATTGAAATCGGGATTAATGTGTACAAAAAAATAAACAATAAACCTTTGGAAACCCATAGAATGAGATAGAAATAATTAAATAATGTTAAAATACCTGTAATACAATACTTCCATGCACTTTTTAAGTAGATCAATAGCTTCATCTTTTGTTAGTTTTGAATTGAATTTTTCACGCTTTTCATCAATAGCTTTACGCATTAATGGCAATGCAAGATATGCACCATAGCCACTAGCAATTTGTTCATCTGCAAATGCGGTTCCCAATTTATCGATTTCACCCAAAAAGGGAACATCGTTTTGGACTCCAGCCACTAAGAATGTGGACCAGAGTGGCTTCATCTTGGTTCTGCGATTGTACAAGACACGGGACAGCCAAGTATGTAAAGCTTTTGGTTTCATTGATATTCCATCATTAAGACTCTTTTCAGTCCTCACTTTTTCTTCAACAACATCTCGTATAAATTGATAATCGGAGTATTCACCTGCTGCAGCTACAATAATATTTTGATTTACCTGTTGATACAACATGATTTATTGAATTATAAAGTTAATCTTGTAGGTTCCTAATAATGATTAAGACATAAAACTATCATACCGTCAATATTCTGGGATTGTTCTGGAAACACGCCATAGAACCATATGATGTGAGTGTATCTGCAGCCAAAGCTACACCGGAATCAAACACAACACCAAGCACAGAAGTAGTAGTTGTGATTGGAGTCCAGCCATGCTGAACAACATCATGTTGTGCTAATTAACAAAAACAAATCATTTGATAAAAAAAATGTCTTTATTTAATTAGGTAATATGATCATAATTCAGTGGAATAGGACTGTATTATAACTATTGTCTAATAATGAATTAATATACAGTGGTCTCTTAGTATCCTGGCAGATATCAAACTAAAGGACTGCCGTATTAGTGCTGGACTAACTTTTCATTTTTTTATGTCAATCAAATCAAAAACAATAACGATTTCTAAGTAGTTATATCGTAATATATCGTAATTTACACTAACCTGTATGTCCAATATCGGGGACACTTTTAAAATTTCCAGGAATCCATTGCTGTTTAATGTCCATGGTTACCTATTAAGTTCACAGAGGTTATTTTCACGTTAGTTTTGGAATTTTCTGTATTCTGTATTTTTGTTGATCAGTAAGATGATCTCACAGAAAAAACATTAATTTATTGTTGATCAAAATATCTAATCGTCATTACATTAATTTCTAACATAACCTTAAAAACTCGTATCACGGCCGTTGTTATTATAGATAATTTATTATCTATTGTCATTATTCGATAAGGTTGGCAAAACTTATGGTCTGCCGGTTATTAACATAGAACAATATTATTAAACTTTACGTACCGGATACACAATTATTTAAAAATATGTTATTATAATTTTTTTTTTTTTTTTTTAAATATGACTTTATTTTGAAATATTACAATCTATACAGGGGTGTACAATAAGTAATAATTATGGTGAAAATAATGAAAAACTATGAACTAATGATGACATGGTAGGAAATCTCTCATTAGAGACACCTAGTGGCTTTACAAAAACATTTACAATTTATTACAATGACATTTATTTACAATTTATAAAATTTTTAAGTCGCGGCACCAGTTCCGCTTGAGACGTCTAGTTGGATTTCCGGGTAGTGCTGGTGTAGCGAGGTCCTTGATGAGTTGGTTGGGGTTGGATTGGAGTTTTGCGTAGAAGCGTTTGTAATATAGAGTGGCTGTATCGTTGACAGAGCGGATTTTGAGATCGGAGTTTATAATGTTATTGGAGACGTACCAGGGTGCTCCTGTAATTAGACGACAACAGATATTTTGGAAGGCTTGAATGGTTCTCTTGTTTGATTTTTTGGCAGAACCCCACTATTTTATAATTTATAATGTTTTTTCTAAATTCTTATTTTAGGGGCCGATTTAAGTCTATGTTATATGAGTCATGGCCAGAGGCTGCTTGATCATGCATTTTGTGGTTCACTGAACCACCAAAAAGTTTGGGATGGGTGTCATTTTAATAGGTAGGTATATGACCAATCTTGTTAATTAGTGTCCGGTATAGCCGTATAAAGGTAATATAAAAATGGTTAATTTGATGGCCAATTCATTATTAGCAACAAAAAGATACAATCACATACATTTACAACCAACTTATGAAGTTATAAACAGCTTCATGACGAAAATATACTCACATAATTACATAAAGTATGAGACTTTGTATAAGTATTTTGTTATTCGAAAATCGCATGTAAATCAATTGTATACTTGAATTGTATTATAATAACAATATCGATATTACAGAACTACTCTCTAGTCTCTAATGTGCAATTGCCTGAAATGTAGTCACTTATACTTTAATATAGGTAATCAATTCAACAACTGCAGATGTGTCAAAGCTCGATCAATTTGGTTTTGTGTATAAGTGTGTTGTAGACGAATTTGAGGTTTCTTTATAATTTGAAAAATTTGTCTTTTTTCTATAACGAATGTTATTAATAAAAAATATTGTTAGGTTAATGTTATTTAAAATAAACATTCGTTATAGGAATTTTTTTTTCAAATCAAAAAAAAACCTCAAATTTGTTAACATTTTTTTTTTTTTTGAACTAGACATTTGTATAATCTGTAATATAATGGTTTACAATAAGCACAAGTGATAAAAGAATACGTATAGAAAAGACAAAATAATAGAGTAATGTAACAAACAGGTTGATAATTACAATTTTTACATCAATTCAGACAGGGGGATGAGTGAAGAGACCATCCATTGCTGGGACTTCGTGACATGTGGTGGTGGAGGTTAGTCTAAAAGTAAATCACGACACCACGTTCGTTTTAGTCGCCTCCTAGGGTCACCAGGTATAGTGGGGGTGGATAGTTCCGAGATCAAGGGGTTGAGGTGATTGTGGAGATTGGCGTGCATGCGTTTGTAAAAAGATTTAGCAACGTTTTTTACTTTTTGGATGGATAGATCTTTATGGAGAGTATCATTAGAGGCATAAAATGGGGCTTTAGTTATTTGTCGGAGGCATTTGGATTGAAAAGATTGAATTTTATTAATATTGGAGGGTTTGGCAGCACCCCATAATTGGATGCCATATGTGATATGTCAATATTGGTTTGAGGAGTAATTTGTCTAAGAGAAGTTTATTTTTAAGGTTTAGATGTTTAGATGTTAAGAGAAAGCGTAATTGACGAGTTCGTTAATTTAGAGCAAGCCGTTTTGTGTGGATATGCGTTGCCCAGGTTAGCCGGCGGTCTAGGTGAAGACCTAGGTAGCGAACGTTTTGGGCAGATGGAAGTGGAAGGAGATTAAGGTACACAGGATGGCAAACAGCTTGCCGAGGCGTGAACGTACAGTGGACGGATTTGGTTTCGTTAACTTTAATTCCCCAATCTTTATACCATATTGATAGGAGATTCAGGTGGTTTTGGATGAAGTTTGAGGACGTTTCAGGGTTTGAGTGGAGAGCCAAGAGTGCCTTATCGACGGCAAAGTCCCCAGTAGCAGTGTAGGCAGTGGTAGGTTGGTCAGAAGTGAATAAGTAGATTGAATAATAATGGAGCTGTGACCGCTCCTTGATGGACACCAGCACAGATCGGGAATATTTCTGATATAGCAGAACCTGAATGGACAGGGAAGTGTCTATCTTTAAGGTAAGATTTAAATAGCAAATAGTAGGGGGGAGAATAGATTTAAGCTTAAGGAGAAGGCCTTCGTGCCAGACGGTGTCGAAAGCTTGTGCCACGTCGAGGAATACACGTGTGCATATTAGCTTTTATTCCAGAGCGTAGGAGATGTTATCAACTTGGCGATGGATCTGGTGAATGGTTGAGTGATTATGTCGAAAGCCAAATTGGTTGTTAGGTAGGTTCACATTTTAAAAATAAAAACTATTTCATCAACTCGTTATGAATTGTGCTTTTTGGTGAAAAGAAAAAAATTCCCTGTTTAAAATAAAATAAAATGTTGATATTGATGATATTAAACAAATGTAGTTAGGTGCTGAAGATGTGTACCTAAATTTATATAAATTTATATAAGTAGCTTTCACCAAAGGTGGGCATTAACTAGTTAGTTTATTTTCTAATCAACTTATGAACTTAAATAGTTTAATTTACAATTGAAATAACTTAGCTTTTCTCAGTTGATTTAAAAAAATCCATTAAGTTAAAACATTTTGAAATTGTTCGTTTATACTTAAATATTACGAATTTCGAACGCTCATAAAAATTTAATTTGACATTCTTATAGACATTTTTTTTTTGATAAAGGTAGATAATCTTATAAGGAATCTTGTATTACATTTTCAAATCTTAGATTTAAAAAGAAAAATGTTTACGAATTTTTAACTCAAAATAATTTGCTAATTTTCGTGATTTTTCCATATTTTGTCAATTTTTGAATTTTAAATGCTTATAAAAAAAATTGTGACTAAGGATTGTTAATATTTTTCATCTGCCTTTGAAACAATATACTAATAGCCCTCTATTTAATTTTCAAGCTTTTTTAACCAACAAATACAATTTTATTGATATTTTTAGAAAAAAAAACTAAAAAAATATGGAAAATGAAAATGTTCCTTAACAGTTCAAATCAAATCATAATATTTTGAAAATTTCATCGTATACAGAAAATGCTAATATAAACATTCAGTCAAAATTTTATGTATCTACGGTCATTTATTTAAGGGTTGCACCAAAACCAAAATAATTTTTTTCGAAAACAGATTGTGTGTAAAAATTCCCGTTCTATTTTAATTTTTCTTTTGTTTTTCATGGCGCTTTTGAAAACTACTAAAAAAATTATACTTTTGACTCCCCAAAGTACCAAAATTCCATTAGATGCAGGATAATTACGAACGTTTGGATGTCATTTATAAGGATTTTGCAGAATTTCTGGCAGGGTAGTCATACATAAGTACATAACACATTAACACACACACATATTACGTATATATATTCATATTCACATCTAAGTTATTAAATTTTGGATGGGGTAACCTCGTTTAACTACATTTACGATAGTAAAAAAGTATTTTATGATTGACTATCAATTATCATGATAATAATAATGAATATTGAGGGGGGAAAGCAGTGGCGCAACAAGCGGGGGTGTTGGGTGGTACTTACACCAGGGCACCAGGGCAGCTGACATTTTAGGGGGCACCATCTGATGACTGTGTTTTTGGTATTTATTTTATTATAACATAAATTATCAAGATTTGAATAAAGATATTATTGTGGTAATAAAGATGAATGAAGGTATTTCTTGTAAAAATTACGAAAATAGATTTTTCTTTCCGTGGAACATTCAATTAGTTATAAATCTCGAAAATTATCAATCATTGTAATTAATAAATTATAAAATGTTCAGTTTTTATAGCTGAAGATTGCAAATTTAAAAAAAAGGTTCTCATAAATAGTTTATACTGTAACCAAAAAAACTAAAAAATATATGAACACAGTTATTTTTTACAGACATTTTAAATTCAAATTTGGACGAAATTACATATTAAAATCAATATTAACGATCTTTGTTTTTGTTGTAATTTAAAAATATTAGTCGGGGATATATGAAACTGAAAAATCAAAATATTATGGCCTATACATACAATCTACCATAGTTTAAGGAATAAGAATTATGCTCATGATAAGACTGTGCATATTTTAAGGAATTTATTCATAAATTCCATTTAATTTTATTAATTTTTAATATAATTCCATAGAAAAGTATATAATATGTCTTATACCTAGACTGACATACCGTCTCCGCTCAGAATCGTTTTTCTTATACAATGATATTATATCATTGCATTCAAATTTAATACCATCCATTATACAGTAACCCACTTGTAACCTACAGTACAGCAGAGCGACATCCACTTACCCACCTTTTGATAACATGTACATGTATTAATTTTTTTTTTATGAATTAAAGAACCTACCTACCCATGTTATAATTTGTATAATTTATATGTATATATATTTTTTATCTATACTATAAAATATAAATATATAAAGAAAATAATATATTGTAAGGCACCAAGTAATTTTTGTTACTAGGGCACCATAAGTTCTAGTTGCGCCACTGGGGGAAAGTTCGCAGAGTAGTCTGCAAGTGCCTACCATGACTACCCCGTGAGCACCACTGTGTGTATTATTTTATATTATACAATTGAGGTACTTTATGAAACACATTTATATCATATTGAAATCAATTCAATTATAATTGTTGAGTTCAACGAATAGAACAATTTAAATAACGAAAAAACCTAATTAAACACAAACTTATTTTAAAAATAGACCGCTCGGCCATTCCGTCCCCCATATTATACGATTATTATACCTGTTAGGTATAATATTTAGTGATGGGCAACGATATCGATAATTCGATACGATATCGATATCGTGACAAATTTCCGACATCGATATCGTTTTGTATTGTATGATATATCGTGATATCGAAAATAATATTTTTCAGGAAAAATACATGGTATTTACTATTTGACATTTATTTGTATATAGCTATAATAAATTAATAAATAATAATAACCATAATTTCTAGGATACAGCTATCACAGTTGAACACATTTAAGGAGAAGTCAAAAAGGGTTAACATAAAATATAAAAATGTAAAACAAATGTAGCAAAATGTATAACAAATTTATTATAAATAAAAATAACTAAGTAATAAGTAATAACTTATAAGTATGTATAATAATAAATAATAAATATTAATAAATACGAAAAGTTTTTTTTAATTGTTTAGGTAAACATAAAGTTATATTTATGATACGATATCGATATCGTAGAAATAACGATATCGCGATACAATATCGGAAAAATCTGAACGATATCGATACAGAAAACTATATCGTTGCCCAACACTAATAATATTATAGGGTATTACCACTGGGTATCCTAACTAATCGCATGATTCATGTTAACCTTTTATTATTCACTTAAAAAACATACTTATTGTACAAAAATGAATGTATAGATTGTAGATTTATTTCAATAAAAAATAAAAAAAATTATTTGATAATATAATCACTAATTAATAAATGCGTAGGTAACTAAACAAAATATAATTAATCAAAATATCTATAGGTACTGCAGGGTACACACCACACGACTTTTTTTTTATCCTGGCATGATTTTGTTTGAGGCACAGTCTGTCGGGGGGGGGGGGGGCAGTACCCACCCGGCCACTCTCGTAAACACTCCTATGTTCACAATAATATCATCAAATATACTTAATAATATTATAGGCTGACTGACCGTTTTCGCTCAGAATCGTTTATCTTATACAATGATATTATATCATTGGATTCAAATTTAACACCATCCATTACAGCGATCAACTTGTATACTACTGTACAGAAGAGCGATTTTTTTTACATTTAATACAGGAAACGATAATATTACACAATGGACAAACAAACGTTTCTATTATCAATTTTATTTTTTTGGTTCGGACGTCTATAAGAACGACATTAATAATACATTAGCACATCATATTTTTATACCATATCAATATGTATCCATAAACCTATTACCTACTTAGGACAATAAAAATGCTTGGATTTTCTTCAACAGTATCTTTTCTGACAGGAAATTGAATCAATCTGGTTGGTACTTTGGGAGGTCAAAAGTAAAAATTTCCCAGTAGTTTTCAAAAGCACCGTGAAAAACAAAAGAAATATCTATTATTAATATTATTTGAATTATTATGAGTATTTGATCTATAAAAATCCAATTTTGGACAACTAATTTATTACCTAGTACCTGGTTCCTAACACTTATAAATATTTTAATTTTTAAGAAATTGTTGTTTTTAGTGACTTAAAATGGTGTAAAAAAACGTTCAAAGCTTATGAAATAATTAGTGTCTTACATTAAAATTAATATTTAATATCCAATAAATTGTCATATTATATATTATCTAGTATAGCCGTATAGGTACTTGTATTGAACACGTTACAAATACTTTATTTCTATTGATTATATATCATGCCCTATAGTGGGCTCTGTGCAATAACATATATGTATAATATACAGCATAATATATATTTTGTTAGCTAGTTAGCTAATATTATTATAGAATAAACATAATACTCATAACAATACAATCTGAATGAGCGCCACTCACAGCAAGATTGACAAGAATTCTAAATGGAAAAACTATACTCTAATATAGAACATTCTAAAGAAAAATATAAAATTACTAAGCAAATTGGAGAAATTCAAATCCACGGAGAGCTTTATTACACATCGTTTTTCTCGTAAAATCGCAGGGTTTTTGATTTTTTCGATGTAACTTGTTGTTACATTTTTTTGGTCATTGATCAAAAGCTTAAAAATTCAATAATCTATATATATAAAAATGAATGTATGTCAGTGTGTTTGTGTCCATATTACCATGGCAACCATATATAATATCATTTTGAAATTTCCGATGGAATGTTTTGTATATAAATGGTTGCCATGGTGAATGGTGATATGTAAAACATATTATTCATATAGAGTTGGCAATTTTAACGGGAAATGATGTGCACGGGATCAGATATTTATATATATATAGATAGATTAGACATCTGTGCAGAAGATATTTAATTTAAAAAGGGAGAGGACCAACCCCGGGATCAGGTGCTCAAACAAAGATTTTGAGATTTCCGATGGAAATTTTTGTTTATAAATGGTTGCCGTGGGTTTCAAAGCTATAATAATAATAATTATTGGTTACCATTGGTTTAAAATTGTTGTCCAGCGACACGGTAGTGTCGCGAGCTAAGTAAAAAAAAAGGAAGGCGAAACACTCGACCGTGTATATATACAGAAACCTAAACATTCCCATTTAATACGTGTTAATATTTTGGTGTTCTTTATTATTTAATCATTTATTAATAAATGGACCAAATAGTTAGAATGAGGTATCAATCGATCCAGAAAATCATAGGCTACGTGCTTTTATAATTTCAATAGAATCGGTTGAATAATATTTTAGTTATGATCAAAAAACTGTGGATATTTAAGTGATCATTTTATATTACTTTCGCCGCCGGCTGCCGTATTAAACGCGTCATGTGGACGGAGACGGGTGAGGGGATTCTTGCGACGGCGGCGTGTGTCTCCCACTACTATTGCTTCCCACCACCGCTAGACACATACAACACGCTAGTCGCTAACACGCGGACATAGTTCACTATCGCTTATCGGTATCGGTGCATTCTGTTTTCGTAATTTCGTTCTTTCGTCTCGCATTGTCACAATATAAATGCCAACAATAAATAAATATATATAAATATTATAATAATTATAATAATTATTATATATTATAATATTTATATATAAATGCCAACAATAAATGTCACAATATATGTCTTTCAAATTCAACTTTGGAGTGATGTGAACACAAAAATTACAAACTTGCAAATAAATTCATAACCAACCACAACACTTACAGTTGATAGTAAATGTTACACTTTAAACTCGGTCATTTGCCATCATGGTCAATCTATGACTGAAGCCCATTATACAGCAATAATAAAACATCAGAATAAATGGGTAAGATGTAACGATACATCTGTACAGTTTGAACGGTGGCCTCGTGGTGCAAAAGATGTTTACATCATAATAATGGAAAAAAAATAAAAAATATATTGACCCTAATAAAAACTAATGATATCCCAACAAAAACACTCCGTCAACTCCGTGTAAAAAACGCTAAGTAAAAAAAAAAAAAATATAAATGCCATAAAATGTGTGATATAAGGTGGAATCTAAGTAAATGGTCTAATGTGTAAAATGTATTTATTAGTAATTAATTCAAATTTAATAAAATTGGTTATTTATATTAATTTATAATATGAATTATTTTAACTAAAATTTATCCAAATTTAGTTTACTTGGTCGGAAACAAATTTTTATTTATCTTAATGGGATCTGCATTATTTATTACATAAACTTAGTACTTGACTATACATTTTTAGGCTGAATGTTCCGGCCAAGTAAACTAAATTTGGATAAATTTTAGTTAAAATAATTCATATTATAAATTAATATAAATAACCAATTTTATTAAATTTGAATTAATTACTAATAAATACATTTTACACATTAGACCATTTACTTAGATTCCACCTTATATCACACATTTTATGGCATTTATATTTTTTTTTTTTTTTACTTAGCGTTTTTTACACGGAGTTGACGGAGTGTTTTTGTTGGGATATTATGGTAACAGTTATATTATAAAAAAAAAAATATATATTATTCATATAGAGTTGGCATTTTTAATGGGCAACGAAGTGCACGGGATCAGCTATATCAAATAAAACCATATAAATTACATAACAATAATAACGTTTATTAGTATAAAATATAAATACTAAATGTAATTACACAATATTACGGAAATATAGCCATAAATTTCATAATTTATATGTAGGTATCATCTTTTTACATAAACACTTCTTTTGATCCAGGGCTAGAATTCTGACCGCAGGGCAGATGTAACCTCTGTCAGCTACTGCAGATCATTGGCTATTAATTCCACAGTGGCTTTTAAACGTCGCTGCAGTCTTGGCTCCCTCCCCTCTCGCCTTTATTACGCCTGTGTAATACGCCAAGGTGAGCTTTTGTCCTGAGTTCACAGCTCTTTTGTGTCCAGCTAGACGCCGTTTTGTTCGCCGGACACTTTGAACAAATCCTCCGTTTAGGCTCGCCTTTTTTTGGCGTTCGCCCGGCAGACATTTTTTTGTCCTCTCGTTTGTTGAACCGTTTCATGCATCGGCACCGGCTTCGGCTCTTTTCCGTGTCTTGCACCACGTCGTGGTCGTTCCCGTTTCCTCTAGTAATACTCGTTTTTACCTACAGCTATTTTTAGGTTATATCACCGCTGTATAACCGCTGTGGAAAAAGCTGTAGGTAAAAACGAGTATTATTATTATTATTAACAATTATAATCAGACACTTATCCGACTGTGGAAAGGAAACATGGATATTCAACCGTGCGGCTCTAAGGAATCTATCGCCTATTACATTGCAAAGTACATAGCCAAATCTGAGCATCCAGAAGTACATCGCAGCATAGCTAAAGCAATTCAACAAATTCAGCGTGATGAAAGCAACATATCTTTGAAATTGTTTAAAGTTTGCATGAAAATACTAAATGAGCGTCAAGTTTCAGCCTGTGAATGTGTTTTTCGTTTGTGTCACCTAAACTTACGGGAAAGTTCAAGAATGTGTGTTTTTTTAACACCCATAAACCTGAACAACGATATAAAGTTATAAAATTTAACGAACAAGGTAATGCAACAGGATACTGTGCAAATATTTTTGAAAGATATGAAAAACGGCCTGTTCAACATCAAGATTATTACTTTAACAACATGACACTCATGGAATTTGCAATGAGATTTAAGCCTCACTATGCAAAACCACTGGAAGAAGAAGAAGAAGAAAGCGTTGACAACGACGCCTACGATGATTTAGCCGTGAGGGGACGCAAAAAGTTAATTACGCTTACGGATAATAGTAAAATGGTTGTGAGAAACGAAACGGCTGTATTAAGAGTTCCATACTTCGTTGCTTCCACGGATCCAGAAAACTACTATTACAGTTTACTTTTACAATACATGCCCTATCGTTTAGAACAAGAATTGTTGGTAGAATTCAATTCCAGCAAAGAAGCATTCATGGCACGCGAAGAAACTTTAAAAAGAAACAGTTCAATAATGGAACAGTTCCGTGAACGAGACAGACAACTTCAAAATGCTTTTGATCAAATTCACGCTTTCGAAATTCTTGATGCGGAGCCATTAGGGGTAGGAGAAAATTTTGAAGATGCAGAAGAACCACAAGTAAGTGAAGAACAATATCAACAAAATTTTCAAGCAATTAACATTGGTCAAAGAGCAGTTTCACAAAAGATAGCTGAAAGTATACGTCACCAGTTAGAAGGAAACCAACACCGGGAACGCCTTTTTATAACTGGCCAAGCTGGAACTGGAAAAACTTTCTTGTTACACCAACTTAAAAATCTTATAAATCGATGTTACGGTAAAAAAGCAGTAAGGGTTTTCTCCTTAACAGGCGTTGCTGCACGGTTAGTTGGAGGAAGAACCTTGCATAGTGCATTAAAGTTACCAATTCAAAAAGATGGCAGAATTGTTGAAATGCCGTTGCTAACGGGAAATTGGCTTAAAGTTATGAGACAACAATGGAAAGATACAGAGTTTTTTTTTATAGATGAAATTTCAATGGTGCCATACGAAATGTTATGTATGATTGACTCACGCTTGAAACAACTAAAAAATAATGAAGATTTTTTCGGAGGAATAAATATTTTGGTATTTGGAGACTTAATGCAGTTGCCTCCAGTTAGAGCTTCTCAAGTTCTTCAACAACCTGAACGTATGATTCCAGCTACACATCTTTGGCGATTGTTTTCGCTTGTCGAATTGACAGAAAATATGAGACAACAAGGAGATAAAACATTCATTGATATATTAAATGCATTGAGAGTTGGAGATCTAATGCAAAGCCAAATTGGAATATTGATAAACAAACAAAGCACTGACATGGATGGAGAATTTGCACTTGAGAAGGCCTTAAGGATCTACCCAACTAATGACCAAGTTAACAATCATAATCAGAATGTGATTAAATATTTCAAAAGCTATGGTGTCAAGATGTGGAAAATCAAAGCACAAGATAAATTAGTGGATTCGACGAGAAAACTTGGTAATGACAATTCAATTGACTCTATTATTCCTAAAGATAACGACAAAACTGGAGGTTTGCCAAAGGAAATCGAAATTTTCGTAGGGGCTAAAGTTATGCTTAGAACAAACTTAAATGTATCTCAAAGACTTGTAAATGGCGCAATTGGAAATATCACAGAGATTAACTGGCCCAATTTTGCTAGAGATCAACTTTATGATGAATGTATACCAAAATCAATTCGCGTCGACTTTGGAAGAGATGGTATCCATAAAATAGAGCCCATATCTATTCAGTTTCCTGCAATGCGCAGTTATGGTACTGCTGAGCGTAGAATGTTGCCAGTAATTTTGTCATGGGCAGGAACCGCACACAAGTTACAGGGCTCCACCGTCGATCATGCTGTTGTTTATCTAGGACCAAGGCTCTTTGTAAAAGGACAAGCTTACGTTACTCTTAGCAGAGTGAAATCCTTGCAAGGCCTCCGAATTGAACAATTAGACTGTTCAAAGCTGATGGGAAGTACACCATGAAATATTGACGCCCTCGAAGAAATGGAAAGAATGCGGGAACTGAGATAATTAAAATATAATATTACTTAGTTGCTTATAATATTCAAATGTACCGAAAATAATAAATATTATGCTTTCAAAAAATCGTTTGTTTCTAATTTATAGTTATCACTAAAAAGTAGAAAATAAAAATAAAATAAAAAAATAATTTTTAAAAACATGCTTTTCTTAATACTACTTAATAAATGAACGAAAAGGTTGAAAATAAACTTACTTTGAAAACAATTTCTTAATGAAACTTCAAGATTAACAAGATATTACTAAAAGTGTTTATAAAATGTATTTGTTGAACAATTTTTAAAAATTCTGAATTACAAAAAAAGAAATGCATGGGGCTCTTATGAGTCAGGAATATCTCTTACAAAATTGTGAGTGTGATCAATAATCTTTAAAATATTTATCATAAAGTTTATATAAAAATTCAGTTGTAGAGGGACTTTACGTATGACTTATCATAAGTATATAAGTTATCTATTTTCATAAAAGTGTCCAATAACAACAAAATTCAACAATTTCAGAATATTGCTCTTAGGAAAATTACTAATGCTACAACCTTTGTTTCGAATTACACTATACATAATGACCTGTCAATTAAAACCGTGGCTCTTATGAGTCAGGAATATCTCTTACAAAATTGGAAGTGTGATCAATAATCTTTAAAATATTTATCATAAAGTTTATCTAAAGATTCAGTTGTAGAGTGCCCTTACGTAGGAGTTATCATAAATGCCCCATGCATTTCTTTTTTTTGTAATTCAGAATTTTTAAAAATTGTTCAACAAATACATTTTATAAGCACTTTTAGTAATATCTTGTTAATCTTGAAGTTTCATTAAGAAATTGTTTTAAAAGTAAGTTTATTTTCAACTTTTTCGTTCATTTATTAAGTAGTATTAAGAAAAGCATGTTTTTAAAAATTATTTTTTTTTTTATTTTTATTAAATTATTTGGTAACAGAATTAACTGCTTACGTGGAATCTTGCTTTAAATTTAAAATCCTTAGATATGAAAGTTAAACATTTTAAAAATATTTAACTACAAAATAATTATTCAATTTTAAATTTCATACATTTTGTCAAAATTCGATCTTTAAATGCTTATAAAAAAAAATTGTGCCTATGTATTTTCAATGTTTTTCAACTAATATTGTAACAATACATCAGGAGTCTTGTATTAAATTTTTACACTTTTTGGCCCAACAGATAAAACTTAATTGATATTTATAGAAAAAAAAGGTGGGCAAGTGGGTGTCGCTCTGCTGTACATTAAGTTACAAGTGGGTCACTGTATAATGGATGATATTAAATTTGAATTCAAAGATATAATATCATAGTAATGCATTTATAGTAATAATGTTATTAAAAAGATAATATAGAATGTTGCAACACAATTTCTAATGATTAGACGCCTTCCTCCTTTTCGCGCATAGCAGTACCTATACGTACGTCGGTCTATGTCCCAGTGGCGTATTTACAGGGGGGGTCCATGGGGTCTGGACCCCCCCATTGACTCGTGTCTCGTACATGTTAAATGTTGTGCAGTTTTTACATGATTAAAAAACAAATTTTATCATACGATTTTACGGACTGTATAAAAAATTTTCGAAGCTATAGTTATATCAACATTTTCAATAAATATCGTGATTATTTTTATCAGTTGGGTACCGAAAATGGTTGAAAAATACCAAATTCATTTTTTAATTCAAATATTTTGTAGTTTTGTATATTGCCACTTGCCAGTATCTACAACCACTCCAGAGAGATCTTTTTCAACCTTTTTAAGGTTGAAAAGCTATCTAAGATCAACTATGAATGAAGTAGGTACCTAATGTAAGTAAAGAAATATTTGTATAAAAGTTATACCTAACATAACTATATTTTCGATTCTGAGGGATCTATTGGTTTTACAATGGTGTTTATTTTTTTTTCCTATATACAAAATTTCTTCCAGAAGGAGTGCTTCGATTTCAACATGTATAGACATATAGTAACTTATCTTTTAAGTTTTAGAAAATTGGATCAAGATAGTACCTACTTTAGAGAGGTCATTTTTCGATTTGCTCAATAGTTATTTAATGCCACTGTAAAAACCACCAAAAAATTACGAAAAACCGCTAAAAATGGGATTTTAATTTCTAAAACTTTGTCTATCACGATAGAAAAGAATAAAAAAAAAATAATTCATTATTAATTCAACTTACAGGCTATAATAAATAATAACAATATAAAATATCCAGACTGACAAACCGTCTTAGCTCAGAATCATTTTTCTTATACAATGATATTATGATATTATATCATTGAGTTCAAGTTTAATACAATTCATTATACATTGACCCACTTGTAACCTACTGTACAGCAGCAGAGTGACATCCACTCACCCGCTTTTTTTTAAATTTGTTTTCTACATATTATTATTTAATAATTAAAAAATCGACAATTTTATATCGCCTTATAAATATGGTATATTTTATTTAATAAAGAGTAAATGGGTGGTGTGGGGGGCTTCGTCCCCCGTGTCTCTGTGTTCTGAAAATTATCTGGACCCTCCCCATGACAAATTCCTAAATACGCCACTGCTATGTCCCCTTAGTGCCTGCTGGCTATAGTGGCTACTGTCTAGAAAATCTCCTATTTAAGCAGTGGCGTAGCCAGAATTTTTTTTCGGGGGGGGGGGGGGCTGATTAACTTTTACCGAACTTTTTGAGGGACTATCATAGACTATTCAGACAATCAAATTTTTTAATTTTCTTAACATTTCGGGGGGGGGGGGGGGCAGCCCCTCAGCCCCCCTGGCTATGCCACTGTATACATTCTATAATTACAATTAAAATATTTCGTAAATATCGATTACTGTTTAAATTCACCGCGGTCCTCTATACGCATAGTATAGATAAAATAAATTATATTAGCAAATATATTATCAGTGGCGCCAAACTCAATTTAAAATGGGGTGGCAAACTAGTAAAAATTTACCAAACACCCACCCACCCAGAACCATTAAATTAAGCGGGCATTCTTAGGCCATACCTCAACGTTAACTTCAGACATTAGGTATAGTCATGTAAAATAATTTAGGTTTTGTCAGTTATTCATAAATACTAGTCTACGGTAGTGAACATTAAGCACAAAATACATTTTTTAAAAAAAATATAAATACCCATGAAAATGTTTGTATTTGTTCTCAATTACTTTTTCTAAAAAGTGTTACAAGAACTCTTGTATGGATGTATTAGGTTCTCTGTTAACTTTTAATGTAATTTTGGCTGGAATAGTTTTATTACCACATGTATTTAATTTTAATTTCAAAAATTTTTTTTTTTTTTTGTGGCTGTCATCACGTTTTAGGACAGTAAAAGTGCTTGGATTTTCTTCAACAGTAGCTTTTCTGATAGGAAAGTGAAACTAGTTGGTACTTTAGGGGGGGGGGGTCAAAAGTGAAAATTTCCCAGTAGTTTTCAAAAGCGGCGTGAAAAACAAAATAAAAATTAAGGAAAAATGGGAATTTTTACACTAAAATATGTTTTCGAAAAAATCGATTTTGGTTTTTAAACAACTTTTAAACAAATGACCGTAGGTACATGAAATTTTGACTGAATGTTTATATTAGTATTTTCTATACACGATAACATTTTCAAAATGTTTTGATTTATTCTGAACTGTTTAGGCACATTTTCATTTTCCATTTTTTTAGTTTTTTTTTTAAAAATATCAATACAATTTTATTTGTTGGTTAAAAAAGCTTGAAAATTTAATACAAGGCTCCTAATATATTGTTACAATGGCATTTGAAAAACATTAAAAATCCTTAGTCACAGTTTTTTTTTATAAGCATTTAAAGTTCAAAAATTGACAAAATATGGAAAAATCACGAAAATTAGCAAATTATTTTGAGTTAAGAATTGGTAAAAATTTTCTTTTTAAATCTTAGGTTTTAAAATGTAATACAAGATTCCTTATAAGATTATCTACCTTTATCAATAAAAATTTTTAATTTTAAATTTTTATGAGCGTTTGAAATTCAAATTTTTACAACGTTATATATTCACTCGATTTCTCATGTAGCGATTTCTTTATTTTGTTGTAATTCAAAAACGAATGACTGTAGATTCATGAAAATTTCACTGAATATTTATATTAGCATTTCTTATACACTATACAATTTTGAAAATATTTTGACTCTTTTTGAGCTGTTTACGGACATTTTCAGTTTCCCATTTTTTTAGTTTTTTATTCTATAAATATCAATCAAGTTTTATCTGTTGGGCTAAAAAATGTAAAAATTGAATACAAGGCTCCTGATATATTGTTACAATATCAGTTGATAAAATATTAAAAATACATAGGCACAATTGTTTTTTATAAGCATTTAAAGATCGAATTTTGACAAAATTTATCAAATTTAAAATTGAATAATTATTTTGGAGTTAAAAATGTATAAAATGTTCAACTTTTATATCTAAGGATTGAAAATTTAAAACAAGATTCCACGTAAGTAGTAAATTCTGTTACCAAAAAATCTAAAAAATTCATAAGCACAGTTAATTTTTATAGTCATTTTAAGTTCAAATTTGGGACAAAATTACATAAAAAAAAACCTAGAATAACTATTTTAGTTATTTTGTTGTGATTCGTGGGTACTTGAAAATTTTAAAGTACACTATTATATATCTATGGAGTATGTACTATTTTTGACGTATAACGCATTATAAGTACCTAATGGATATTATGATATGATTGATTTGGAATTTATTATAGGTACCTATTTTAGGTAAATTTTTTTTTTAATACGATAGATAAGTATATAATATGTCTTATACCTAGACTGACATAATACCGTCTCCGCTCAGAACCGTTTTTCTTACATAAAGATATTATATCATTGAATTAAAATTTAATACTATCCATTATACAGTGACCTACTTGTAACCTACTGTACAGCAGAGCACCTTTTTATAATTTTATATCAATATATTATATCAATATAATAATTATATCATTATTGGTTTTTACAATAAAAAAGTTGGCTAAAATAGCCACTTCACAGTACGAAAAACCACTAACTGATAATGTAAAAATAATAGATAACACAATTTAAACTATACGTCTATAGTGAATACGTCTATATACTACCTATTTCATTAATACACAGGAATACAGCGACACGGTGTATAGACGTTACAGTCGTCAGTCGTTACACTTTTGATTCCAAGTACTAATTTACTTATCGAACACTCAGTATCTAGCCGTCAAATTTCTTCTGTTAGGTATTTGCCCACCTGCATAGCAGGACCCACCACCCACCCATTTAAAAGGGGTGGCGGTCGCCACCCTTACTATATAGGTTCGGCGCCACTGTATATTATCATATGATTCGTATGTATTATATTATAATATATACACTGTAATAAATATAATAGGGTGTAACTTAACCTAAACGGAGTTTCGTTTAAATACAAACATTTTTAAATATTCTTTTTTAATATGACATATTTTGGAATTTGGGGTATAATATCAAAAATGTGTGTAAGGCCATTTGAAGTAGACTTGACGACAAATTCAAATCTGTTTTCAGAATTCTTATCGATTCATTAGATCAATTGGTATGTTTGGCAAAAAAAAGTCTAAAATACTATGTCACGCGTGTGTTAGACAAAAATAGAAAATCACTAAGGAATAAGGATTTCAGGACACTAGATACTCAATACTCATAAATAACATTCAGTGTCGGTACATAACGTCATAACTATTCCATACTAATAGGCATAGAATTTTTCTTCTTGAAAATTTTGAATGTTTCATAATTTTATTATCCAGCGTCATGTTTGTTGGAACAAGTTGACTTAGGAAAAAAAAATTGTGGAACAAAAAGTAGTGATCGACACACTGTGTTTTTCGTTCCATGACTTTTGATTAAAATGGTCGACCATTTATGTTTTTATTCAAAACCGACAGCGTTGGCCGCAGACTGCAGACTGCAGAGTGCAGACAAGTGAGTACTGAGGGTAAATAGCTGGTTTGCCGACTGCCGTATTGCTGTCGTTACTCGTTACTCGTTAGTCGTCACTCGTCAATGGTCATTGTTAATTATTAAATCTTAATGTGTTCTGTTATTCTGTTTGTGCGCACTCCTCTACAAGTTAAAAATTTATAGGCGCTAGCTGGTGTTTGTGTGTGTGTGTGCTTGTTCGTGTGTGTGTGTGTGTGCGTGAGTATCTAAGTGAGTGATTGTCGAGTCTCGAGAGTCGACTGACTTGAACGGCCAACGGGTGACACTCTGACTCAGTGACAGTGGACTGTCCGTCAGTCGCAGTTGTCGTACTTGCGTATATTTTTTTCCCTTCTGGGGTAACTCAATGGTTTGCCTTGGTGATTAACCACTGCAAAGTCACCGTAGGACCACGAGCAATTCGAACTCCTTACAATGACTCAATTTCTGCCGCCCAATTTGCTAGCGCTTTTCGCGCCGAGGGACCCAGTCCCTTACCTGCCACCGGTCGCCAAACTTCCGCACGAGAAGAAGACCCGTGGGTATTTGGGCGTTGGGAGTTTTATGGATTTGTTCGAAGTGAGTATGGACAAACTTAATGATAAAATTAAGTTTAGACTTTCCAGTTTTAATTTTTACAACTACCTATTCTAATCTGATCATGTTACTCTACAGGACCCTGAAGACACGCCTCCTCCAACAAAAATAGAAACCCGAGAAGAACGATTAGAGCGTCGTCGACGCGAGAAGGCCGAACAAGTGGCATACAAGTTAGAACAAGAAATCGCTCTATGTAAGCACCATGTTGACACAGTATTTGTTTACACGGCACATATGGAGTGTGAATAATCATTTGTTCTTGTTCCGTTTCAGGGGAACCACATTCAGTTGCGAACGCTACAACAGATCCATTTAAAACACTATTTGTTGCCAGAATTGTAAGTCATTTTATTGTTTGTTCAGATTGTATAATTATTCTTATACTACTTGGCTTTGGTTTCTTATGAAAAATTACAGTAGGAGACATTTATTTTTAACCCCAAGTCACTTTTATAATTTAATAGGTACTTAAGAATTTTTAATTATACAATAATATTTATATACATAAACTAGAAGTAGATGTCAATAAATCAATAGAAAAAAATTAGGAATCAATAAATAGAATTTTGAAATTTTGAATTTAGCAAATAGAAACAAACTCATATTTTTAATATAATTGACCATTGCTAATTCGTTATTAAAATATCAAAAAACAGAATACATTTTCTCTCATAAATTTAATGAAAAACCAAAATAACAATAAAACATTTATCACAACACTTCACTCAGTAATCAATATTGTATTTTGTAATAACATGGTTTACTTATGTTGTTACTTGATTATTACCGTAAAAAATAGATCAGATGTTACTTTTTATGAAAGTGGCAAATTTTACATGACATTTTAGAAGGGATGGAAAATGTTTAAGTTACATTTGGGTTTTTGTTTATTTATTTAAAAAATATTGTTTTTGTGTAATGTTTTTAAAAACGTTATTTTCTTATTGTTTCCAATTACGTTTTTGATAATATTATTTTCATTTTTTTTTATTATAGTAACGCGCAATATAGAAATGCACTTAAAAGTTAAAATTTAAAATTAATTATTCTTATAATATTTAAATTTTAAATCAAAATTAATTATTCTTATAATATTTAAATTTTAAATCAAAATTATAATTTATATGAAAATTAAAAATTTCTGATTTCAAGTTAAAATGTTTTTAAATTGTAAAAGTGCATTATTGGTAAAGATTAAATGAAAAGTAAAGACTTGAGTGAAATTGTTTTCAAATTTTTTTTTTTTCGTGGTATAAATATAATAATGTATAATACTACCTATAATTTATTTCGTTATCAAATTGTTTTTGGTTTTTGGAATTTTTTGTTAACGTTTTTCTTTTGTTTTTTAGTTTTATTAATCGTTTTTTTCCATTTAATAACGTTTTCTATTCCTGCATTATAGAGATCACACAACTAATTTTACCAATAAAGTAGCAACCAATATACCGGATAAGGAACTACAACTTATTTTCCTAATACCTTTATATACTTGTATATTCTCTAATAATTATATTTAACAAGTATCAAATTGCCTATCTACTTAATTTTAATAAGTGAAAGATCTATAGATTTATAATATAAATTATTTTTAATACATTGGATTTTTTCAGAATTATGATACATCCGAATCAAAATTACGAAGAGAATTTGAACTTTATGGTCCTATAAAAAAGGTAATTTTTTGAAATTATTTCATTTAAACATTCTTCATTATAGATTAATTAACTATTGTATTTCATTTGTATAGATTGTTGTCACACATAATAAGATTGATGGTAAACCGAGAGGGTATGCTTTCATTGAGTACGAATATGAACGTGATATGCATTGTAAGTATTTAACATGAGGATTATTTTTTGTTTTCAAAAATTGACCTGGTGGTCACAAATGGCGAATGTTGAGGTCAAATTCTACTAAAATTGATTTTACTAGCCTATGAATATTTTGAAAATTTGTTGTTTTCAACCTAAATGGCATTTAATTTTCCAGGGAAATTTAATTTCCAATTTCATAATGATTTAAAAATGTTTATTTTATGAGTTATTGCTATACCAAAAAATTTGAATATTTTTAATTTTAGAGCACTGTGTGTCTGCTATGTGTCAAAAGAGTAACATAAATATTTTGTTTGCAAGATCCCCTTTTTCAATTTATAACATATTAGAGACCAGGCTGTTACCCCTCCTCTAGAAAATGTTATGTTCCTGAACATTGTTACTTATCACACTATCAATTATCCAAACGATATTAATATAACAAACTGTTAACTTATTGTTATGTCATGATTGTATCAATGTTTTATCTTATCAGATTGTCTGCGAGTACAATTTAATATATAATGGTGGTATATACAATATACATAGCTGAAGTATACTGAATATTTTAGCCATGGTATATTTAGGATGTAGGTATACTTAAATTGTGTTTACAAATTATAAATACATACTATTGATAAATAAATCTAATTACAATGTTTGAGTAATCTGTGACATGATAATAATAGATGTCTTACGTATTTGGAAAAATTATTCCAATATTTCTATCTTTTAATTCACCACTAACCAAATTTCTGCAACTTCATTTAAACTATTTCCAGTCTTCAATAGAGAAGGCATAGACACAGGTTAAACAAAGTATAACAATGTACTCACTTTTTGTCACTGTTAAATTTCTATTACACCATGTAAAATTATAGCCTACATGTTACTTCTCAAACTTTGTTATATCGTGGTAGCATAAAGGGATGAGGATCGTGTTATCCTAGGTCGGGCTCCAATATGTCTATGTTATAGGAGTTATTATTCTTTTTTTAAAAATACATACTTATAAACCTCTAAATTTTAATAACTTTAAGCATAAATAAAATGTAACTGATTCACATCATTACACATTGTTGACCCATACACAAGCATATATACTTTTTGTAATGTTCATTACTGGTTGTTTAAAATACATTCTGAAGTTATTTTAAATTAGCAAACTGAATTTACAAAATGTTCATAATATGCGTGGCTAGTACAATCAATTTATTCCTCAAATTCAACTAAAGATTATTCTGCAAAATTTCAAGATCTGAATACTCGCCAGTTTTGAAAAAATATTTTTTAAATACTTGGTTTATATCAACCCTTGCGCGTACTTCAATAAAAACTATGATCTTTAAAATTCAAAATTTAAGAATAAAAACATTCTGGTACAGTTTTAATAATTGTATTTTGTTCTTGATGCAGTGAACTGTGAAGAGCTCGCTGATTGGAGCTTCTTTAATGACCCTGTGATTATACGTAGACGACTTTGTTGATAATAGGTTTGTATGTGTGGTAAGCCCAACATACAAATTACAAAATAAATTAACCCATCATTTCAGTTTCCAAACATTTTCCCAAGTACAATGCATTTTTTAATGTATATTAGTTATTTCAATAACCCAAACTTATTGGTTAACGAGTGTTATTTAATTTTTTTTTTATTTAATTTAAAAGAATAATACATTCAACTTACATTAGTTAATACACAAAAAAATAAAACAACTTAGGGATATTACAGAATATGGTAAACTGTAATGTTAGTGACATTACAGAATATGGTAAACTGTAATGTTATTTGTTTAAATAATAGTATAATATAAAATATTATTTTATATTTTATTTTATTCTTTTGAGCATGAATATAATATGCAAAGGTAAGATAATGTGAATTTGGTGGAAGAAAACGTGATATTTTTTTATTTCATTTACACATTTACACATTCTTCTTATTCTTAATTTTACTGGGTAATAAAATAATTTTGCGCCCATGTGTAAGTATTGGCGTCCCAGGTAAAGTAAAAAAAAAAATCGACAAATTTTGGATTCACTTGGCATTACAAACTGCGCTAAAAAAACAATCTGGGAATAGCAAATAAGTATAATTGGTAGGTACTTAATATTTGATTATTTTCTAATTTTTTCTACGAGATTTACATTTTTGTTTTATGTGGTTGGTAAGTCCTGGTTCTGATGTACTTTAAATTTGTTTCAATACATTTCAAAGATACATTCTCTGCTATCTTATCAACTCTTCAATTAAAAAATTTTATTCAAGAATTTCAATAACTAGTTATACATTTTCATTTGAATCGGGACGGGTATTCAATTTTAAATTTTTCTTAAGGACATCAAAGTTTATAAGTCTTAGTTCAGTCTAATTGTTTTCCCCCAATAATATTTATTATAGCTGCATATAAACATGCTGATGGAAAAAAGATTGATGGACGCAGAGTGTTGGTGGATGTTGAGAGAGCACGGACAGTCAAAGGATGGCTTCCTAGAAGATTGGGTAAATTATTTTAACCTAATTTATTACTATTAAGTATTAAATAAAAAAAGCTTTTTTAATTTTGTATTAATTGATTTTTATTTATTAATAAAGGAGGTGGATTAGGGGGTACAAGACGAGGTGGACCAGAAGTGAATTTGAAACATTCAGGTAGGGAAGATAACGAACGGGAAAGAGAAAGGTATGCTCGTGAAATGGCTGGTAGTCGTTCCGGACGTAGTGTTACCACGGAAAGAGATCGAGAACGTGATTATCGTGACCGAGATAGGGATCGTGAACGTGAACCAAGACGTCCTCGTAGTAGAGATCGTGAAAGAAAACGTCATCGTTCTAAGTCGTATGTATTAAATATATTTATAATCTACACATACTTATAAAAACCATTTATAAAACTATTAAGTACTAAATATCATTGACAACAAATTATTAAAAACAACTGACATTACCTACATTTTGTTTTTGTTGTAAATCTTATTATGCTTTTTGTGTTATTAAATATTAGATAATACTTTTCAAATATTTAACATTGTTTAAACCGATAATCTTAAGATTATTAACCAAGTTGCCTACAACATAATATGACTGGCATTTTAAAATAATGCTTAATTTTTAATTAAAATTAGATTACCAAAGTACTTATTGGATTTAATAACTAACATTTTGAAGTACTTATTTTATAACTAAATCATTATTTAAAGTGAAACTGGTTTTGAAAATAAAATAATTATATAATTAATTTTATGTATAAACGTATACTGGAATGCAATACAATTAGTACCACATTCAATAACAAGTTGGAACAAATACAAGATACTACCAGGCACCTTTTCATTTGACAATTTTTTTTTTAGAACCCTAGGAAAATAAATCTAAACCAAACAGTGCTAAGTTATAACTACGTGTCAGTAAATTATTATTTAAACACATAACTACATAATACACCCTATAAATAACCTAATATAACCTATAAATGAAAATAAAAATTATATTTTTCTAGTTAAAGTTTTTTTGTTGGTTGGCACTTTTAGCTTTGCTTCTAGGTGTTCCACTTTGCAAATAAAAACAGCCTTTAATTTTCTATTAAAAAATACACCAGAAAAGTGACAGTAAAAACCAGTTTTAAGGCATAGGTGCTTAATACACAAATCCCTCATTTAAAATTAATTTTATATTATATTCCTAACAAACATTGTAATTATTGATTCATTAAAAAAAAAAATTTAACAAAAGGTGCCTGTCAATGTTGTTTAAAGTGTATGTCGATAAGTTATTTTAATTTTATAATATACATGAATTTTATTATAGACGTTCCCGCGAGCGCAAGAGACGTCGTAGCAGAGACCGCGGTGCTAGGGATGTAGAGTATGATGAAGTTGAAGAGGTTCCCGTTACCAAATCTAGAGATAAAGATCATGAGCGTTTAAGAAAAAGAAAGCGCAGTCGTTCTAGGGACCGTGAACGTAAGAAGGATCGCAAAGAAAGGGATCATCATCGCCGAGACAAGTAATGTCATAATAATTTTGTGGCAGTTGTAGAAATTAAAACTTAATTTTATGTTTTATAGGAGTAAAGATCGCCGTGATAAACACGATAAAGACAATTCTGAACGTGATGACAAAATTCATATTAAGCAAGAACCTGTTGATGGTTAGTATATTTATTTTAGATTCTGAGCAATGAATGTATTTGTTTTATAATGTGCTTTTTTTCTTAAGATACTTTTTAGTATAAAAATGTCTTTGATCTTCAACTTTGAGTGTGGTTTTCCCACTTAATTTTATTTTAAATATTGCATGATTAAGATGATGAATGATATATATTTTTTGGTTTATTAATTTTTAACATGTTAACTGCTATAGGGACATTTTTATCAAGCGTTTAAATTTAAACTTAATAACTATTTAAACTAAAAATAAATAAATAATATTAGATACCTATTGTGAAAAATATTTTGTAACTTTTCAATTTTTTATTTTTAGAATATGACAATAATTATGACAATTACAATAACGAGTATGATGGTTATAACAGTCCTCATGATGATTATGATCCAGATATGGTTAAAAAAGAGGAACCCGATGAAGAAAATGCAAATGGTAGCCGTTACAGTAATAATGTAATATGATATAATAGACTGTCTTCTACTGTATTGTCTATTTTTAACATAAGTAAAAATATAAAACTTAAGAAAAATGGAATTAAAAATGTAATAATTATTCTTTAGTTCAATGTTTCAAAACAAATTTCTGTTTCTATGTATTAGTAAGTATATAAATTCCATATCTTCATTTTTATTTCTATATTAGTTGTTGCCTATCCCTATATACGTCTTCCTATATAGTAAAAAACTACTAATTATTTAATCGTAACTGAAGTACAAAACATTAATATTGACAAGTTGAAGATTTCGTCAGTATTATAAAATTATCAGAACAAACTAAGTACTCCATCATGAAGTATACTTATAGGTACTTAATTTGTAAAAATGACAAGTAAATTATAATGTTATGAAGTGAATTAAATATATTTTGTTGCAGTTTTTCTCTTATCAGAACTTATAAACTCAAAATATGAATAATCCAAAAAAATTGTGTTAAATATTATTATAACTTATTTAGGTAAAATCTAGTTAATGTTTTGTATAGACAATATTTAAGTATTCCATAACTAATTATGTAAACGTTTTGTAAAACTTATACTTTTTATTAGTATTACTAATAAGTAATAACTATGTTCAATGTTCAATCAATGACAATTTTTATCCATAGAAAATGCTCAGTGGGTCAATATCAAATCATTTCAAATAACAACAGTACTAATGCTAAGAGTAGTGGATACATAACATTGACATTTTATTAGTGTTTTAAGTAATTTTAGAAAGTAATAAAAATATTTGAGCCCTATGATTTAATAATATTGATAATACTAGCAGTTGAGTTATTTATGGGGTATATTGTTCTCAATGCCGGTTACCAAGGGTTAAAGTAACATCAATTATTTATAACATGACTAGCAATGTTTGAGGAAAATGTATAATCCTTATTGTAGCACAATTCCTTAGATCTACACTATGATATTTTATGAGTGATTGCCTAACATTTTATATTTAATTGACATACTTAACAGGAAAGTAAAAAAAAAAAAGGTGGGCAAGTAGGTGTCGCTCCGCTGTACAGTAGGTTACAAGTGGGTCACTGTATAATGGATGATATTAAATTTGAATTCAAATAATTCAAATTTGATATGATATAATTGTATAAGAATAACGATTCTGAGCGGAGACGGTATGTCAGTCTAGGTATAAGACATATTATATACATATCTATGGTATTAAAATAAAATTGACCTATAATAAATTCCAAATTTATCATATCACAATATCCATTAGGTACTTATAAGCGTTATACATCAACAACAAACCGTGATACTATCATAGATACATAATAGTACACTTTAGAAGTTTCAAGTACCCACGAATAATATTATACAATCACATCAAAATAACTAAAATAGTAATTCTAAGTTTTTTAATATGTAATTTTGTCCAAATATGAATTTAAAATGTCTGTAAAAAATAACTGTGCTCATATATTTTTTAGTTTTTTGGCTACAGTATGAACTTTTTATGAGAATCTTTTTTTTAAATTTTCAATCCTTAGCTATAAAAACTGAACATTTTATAATTTATTAATTACGATGATTGATAATTTTCGAGATTTTGATAAATTTTGTCAGATACAAAAAAATAAAAAAACACATCATTGTAAAATCAATACATTCATCGTTCCACTCAGAATTTAAAACAGCTTCTAAAGGTACACCTGAGCAGGGCCGGTCTGGAAATGGGAATTTTCCAGATGGCCTGGACCATACTATGGCCTGGTGGCCTGGCCATTTTGTTAGATTTTTTTTAAATTTAATTTAATTTACAAAATATTAGTTAATGCTAAATGTTTGTTTCTATTAAATTATTTATTTTTTTAAATTAATTAATTATTAAAGCTTTGGATATAAAATTACAAAATATTTGGCTCATAAATATAGACATCAAATAAAATCAAAGCAATATAATATTGTAATAGGTCGGTTATTTTTATAATAAAACACCCATTTTAAACATTGAAGTATTTAAAAATTAGGATGAGAAATTCAATGACCAATGATTATCTTGAGTCTTTTATGCTTATGGCCATTGAAAATAAAATTCTCATGGAAATAGATAACAATATTATCATAAATACAGTTGGTGAGAAATCTAATCTATTATCTAAATTATTACTATGAAGTATGAATGTATAAATCTTTTTTATTATATATTGCTTACAATGTATGTATATATCTCAGTGGCGTATTTACGGGGGGGGGGTCCATGGGGTCCGGACCCCTCCCATTGACTCGTGTCTCGTACATGTTAAATGTTGTGCAGTTTTTACATGATTAAAAAACAAATTTTATCATACGATTTTACGGACTGTAGGTATAAAAAATTTTCGAAGCTATAGTTATATCAACATTTTCAATAAATATCGTGATTATTTTTATCAGTTGGGTACCGAAAATGGTTGAAAAATACCAAATTCATTTTTTAATTCAAATATTTTGTAGTTTTGTACATTGCCAGTATCTACAACCACTCCAGAGAGATCTTTTTCAAACTTTTTAAGGTTTAAAAGCCATCTAAGATCAACTATGAATGAAGTAGGTACCTGATGTAATTAAGGAAATATTTGTATAAAAGTTACAACATATAACTATATATTCGATTCTGAGGGATCTATCGGTTCTACAATGGTGTTTATTTTTTTATCCTGTATACAAAATTTCTTCCAGAAGGAGTGCTTCGATTTCAACATGTATAGACATATAGTAACTTATCTTTTAGAAAATTGGATCAAAATAGTACTTTAGAGAAGTCATTTTTCGATTTTCTCAATAGTTATTTAATGCCACTGTAAAAACCACCAAAAAATTACGAAAAACCGCTAAAAATGGGATTTTAATTTCTAACACTTTGTCTATCACCATAGAAAAAAATAAAAAATAAAAGTATTTCATTATTAATTCAACTTACAGGCTATAATAAATAATAACAATATAAAATATCCAGACTGACAAACGGTCTTCGCTCAGAATCGTTTTTCTTATACAATGATATTATGATATTATATCATTGAGTTCAAGTTTAATACAATTCATTATACATTAACCCACTTGTAACCTACTGTACAGCAGCAGAGTGACATCCACTCACCCGTTTTTTTTTTAAATTTGTTTTCTACATATTATTATTTAATAATTAAAAAATCGACAATTTTATATCGCCTTATAAATATGGTATATTTTATTTAATAAAGAGTAAATGGATGGTGTGGGGGGCTTCGTCCCCCGTGGCTCTGTGTTCTGAAAATTATCTGGACCCTCCCCATGACAAATTCCTAAATACGCCACTGATATATCTATTACTTATTAGTTTATTACCTTATATCTACTATACCTAAACAATTAAAACACAATGTAGAGTATAATTATTAATATTTCGTTGATTTCAACTATTAAACCATACCTACTAATTTTATTTTTCAGACTTTCAGGAATAAGTAGGTACTTAGTGGTATATTAATATAATACGTTAGAAGACAGAAGTTAAAAGAAATATCAAGATAGTGATTGAAATACTTTTATAATACTAAAAGTAGTTTTCAAATAGGTAAATAGAAAAACCAAATTCGAGCTTAGAGAGAAAAAAAATTTTGGTGGGTGGCCTGGATAAATTTTAAACTCCCGGCCTGGATTTGGTTCCCACTCCGCCCCTGCACCTGAGGTATAGCATTTTAGATTCCTGAGTGAAACGATGAATGTATTGATTTTACAATGATGTGTTTTTTAATTTTTTTTGTGTCTGTGTACACGATAAGTAGTCGAAATAATGCTTCGATTTTCAACTTCAGTATCTTGTTCGATTGGAAAGTGAATATCGTTGGTGCATTGGGGAGGTCAAAATTTAAATTTCCCAGTAGTTTTCAAAAGCGCTGGGAAAAACAAAAGAAAACTTAAGGAAAAACGGGAATTTTTACGCAAAATCTGTTTTTGAGAAAATCGATTTTGGTTTTTGGTGTAACTTTAAAACAAATGATAGTAGATACATGAAATTTTCAGTGGTTGTTTATATTTGCATTTTCTATACACTGTAACATTTTCAAAATATTTTGATTTATTTTGAACTGTTTAGGGACATTTTCATTTTCCATCTTTTTTTAGTAGTAAGTTTGTCTTACATTAAATTTTTACAACATATGATATTCACTCGATTTCTCAAGTAGTGATTTCCTTATTTTGTTGTAATTCAAAAATGAATAACTGTAGATACATGAAAATTTCACTGAATTTTTATATTAGCATTCCCTATGTACCATACAATTTTGAAAATATTTTGACTCTTTTTGAGCTGTTTCGGACATTTTCAGTTTTCAATTTTTTTAGTTTTTTTTTTCTATAAATATCAATTAAGTTTTATCTGTTGGTCTAAAAAGTGTAAAAAAACTGGCTAAATTATTATTTACTATACCTACTTACATAAATAATGACGTTTTATTATATTTATACCACAAATTTATTCACACCGTTCTACGGTAGGTATATACCTCTACACAGAGCAATACTGCTACCTCTATCTAGATACCAGCCATGTCTGTATTGACTTATAAAAGTTATTAACAATAGCAAGTAATATTATATGAAGTAATATAATTCCTATTAATTATTAAATGTTATATTACTATTATTATATTATATTACCTATAGGTATGCGATTAATTGTTTTTGGAAAAAAATTAGTTTAATCTTTTATACCAATTGAAATATAAATTACTAATAGCAATATACATTTATGATAAACACTAGAAATAACTAAGTGCAATCCTATATTGCACATCGCAATATTACAATATTTAAAATATTTTGTATTAAAATTGAAGATATTATACCAGCTACTTATACAATCTGATGAGTGGTGACTGCGCAGTAAGTATTGTTTGAAAATTAAAGCAAACTCTACCTATTTATAAAAGTTGTTTTAAAATAGTGTCATCACTGGGTGGCTTTTTTTATCAAGTAGGTATATTCTTG